TCCCTACTTAACTAATTTTCTTTTGCAAAATAATTCTCAATTTGGTTCTCTTCTTCTTCTTCTCCGTTTTGATTTTACAAGATTCCATCTTTCGAAAGCAAATACCTAATTCTCGATTCTCGATTCCGGTAAGCGAACTCTTACACTCTCTCCGTCTCTACTCTTTTGCGTCTCGCATTGCTGATTATTGGAAATAGATTTCTTTGTGGTGTAATGCGGTTTCAAAGTTGGCTCTTTTTGAAAGATTCTTTCTTCTGTTCTTCTTTAGTCTGATTCTCAAGGTTTCACATTCTTTGCTTTGATTATGCGTTTCCCTAATCGACACCGAGTAAAAATTCGTGTTTTTGGACTTGTTACTATGCCATTGATTTGCTTCACTTGTATTACTTTACAACTCTCAGAAACGATCATTGATTGACTTGTTAGAGGTAATTGAGCAGTTCCATGTATCTACTTAGGTCGGAGATATAATGCCTGCCAGGTGTTTGTTCGATGCAATTTTGCGTAGCACATTGAAATTTTGACCCAAGCTATCAAAAATTACAAACCATGTTTAGTTTCCTAGTCAGTGATAGTTATTAGGAAGATGATTGAAACTAGCTTTTTTGCAGCTTCAAATGGATAGCATTTTGGTTGTAATGTAGTGAACATTTTTCATTCAGCATTCTACATTTTTGCATAGCTACTGTTGTTAACCAAGCCATTTGTTTTGCACTGTGAATTAGTGGGAGGAATGTCTATGATTGCAAGCTCTTCGAATAGTGATCCTGATTCAAGAAGCTTACAAGTGCTTCTCGATGCCTTTGGTTCTCGTTTTTCGCTTGATGACATTGCTGCTGCTTATTGCCAAGCAAGTCAGAATGTCGATGTAGCTGGTGAGATTCTCTTTGCAATGACTGAAAAGACGCCTCAATGTGACCACGTTGAAATGAAGAACGAAACCTCAAAACCAAGTCAGGTCTATGTTCCCAAGGAAGTTCGACGACAAGAGGATAGCAAAGCCAAAGTATGGAGGCCGAAGAGAAATTCTATATCAGTTGGTACTGTTTCAAGTGTTATCGGTAAGGAGTATGCTAGAACCAGGCCTATATCAAATGCTCCCAGAGAAGCAACTAAGCCAATGAAGATAGACTCAAGGGATATTCCAGAAACTGAGATATGGAGTGAAGAAATGCCAAAGAGTAACGAGCCAAAGACAAACAGGGCTCCAACTGATGTGGAGGAATTTATCGTTAAGATGCTTGGAGAAGGCTTTCAAGCTAGCCAAGATGTCATTCACCAGGTTCTTGGTAAGCATTCTCTAGCTTTCCTTGAGTCTGCTTTACATATTTTTCTTCTTTAATAGTGTATTGGTTACCTTAGCTGCTAAACTTAATCTGCTTTTCTACCAAACTACCAGGCGTATGCGGATATGATGTGAAGAAGGTAAGCCGTAAGCTGATGCCTTTAGCTCTGAAAAATAATGTTTTTTGTTTCTTTTCAGCGTTTTGCTTTCCCAGATGCCTTCATTATCTTACTTTTTCTAATATATTTTTGTTTTACCTTTTCTTATATTATATATTCCCATACCTTGAAGCTCATCAAGATGACCACCAGCTTAATTATGACCTGTGACCTTTATAGTTGCATCACTCTTTATTTGAGCTACTTTAACAATTTAATTACAATTATAGCCTTGAGCCACTTTGACAATCCTTTTCTCTGTCTTGGTACTACTGCTGACTAAAGCTTGAGATAAAGTTGACTTTTCATACCCACTGTCGCCTCTAATTTTGATCACTTGATTGTTAGTGGTATCTCTATAACTCTTGGCATATGGATCTTGTGAGTATTTCATTTGATCTTGCTTTGGTTCTTCTTCTTTTGGCATCCACACTATCTTCTTCATTATATTGCAGAGTACGGAGAAACTGCTTGACTTGTCTGATACCAAGAAATATGCTGATGTTGGAATTTCCAATGAAGTTGTGAGCTTTTGTTATGACTTTAAGTTTGGTCTTTGTTATAGAATAGCATCTTCTTCTAAATCTGACTCTGTTGCTTTGTTTCCCTTTTTATATAGATGTCAAAAGTTGATCCTCAAAGACAAGAATCTACATCCTGCAACCAAGTGGAACTGCAAGAATTTTCTCAGAGGCACGTTTTTCCTAGTCAATCTTTGTACCGAACCCTTCCCTTGGCAATCCTTTTGATTTTTTTTCCTCTTCGAATTGCTTTCTGTGATGATGCAGTGATGGAGCAAGAACCTTTACAGGTTCAGAGGAAGGGCGTAATGCTAAGAATGGTCTTGAAAAGGAAGTTTTAGAAGCTTTGTTCTCAGGTACGGAAAGATATGTGGGAGAACCAAAAGTAACTCGACATTTTGGAGAAAGGAGACCAAGAGTTGCTGGTCGTCCTGTTTTTAAACCTCTGGAGGACCCTTTTCAAGAGAGAGTAGTTGCTGTAAAAAAATCGTCCAATACATCTAAAGAAGGTAACCATGCCATAGTCTTACATACACGTTTATTCTCTTGTTCCTCAAGCATTTCCTCAACTATCTATTTTTCTCCTTTGATAGATGAAGATGAAAATGAGTTTAAGGCACATCGTAAAGCAGTACGTGAGCATTTGAATCAGATGAAAGAATATTATGGAGCTGTAAGTATTTGAGATAATAAGGATTCATTTGCCCGATATACCGTTATATGTTTGTAATGGCTATATGATATGCCATGATGTGATGGTTGCATAACTAAACCTCTTCCTTCTTGACAGGCTGCAGAAGCATTCTCCAAAGGAGAAACCGAGCGAGCACACAGACTCGTGGAGAAGGTACAATTTGGAAAGAAATTTTTGGTTGAAAGTGATCAATGTCTTTCTTGTCTTCTATATAACAACTATATGATATCTTCCACAATATGTAGGGACACTTTTTTGGACAAAAAGCCCGAGAAGCGGATGACAAATCTATAGCAAAGATGATTGATGTCAAGTCAGTTAATTTCTCAATCCCTTTATTATCAGTCCTCTTTATCATTTTCTTCTGTATAATCCATTGGCAGGAAAAGTTCATAAAATTTAAAACCATGGTTATAGGAAAGACGATGATTCGACTTACGAGGAGGACGAGGTAGTGACAGTGAATGTGAATGAACACGAAACAAAGGAAGCACTTCGTCTTCTCAAGCGCCAACTAAATTACTTCTCTGGCATTTCATGTAAGGTTTTAAATCCCTCTCTTTAAACCTTTTTTGTTCTATCAGAAACAAATCTAGTCTGTTTGATGAGTTTGTATTCTATTTCTGATTTAGCTTTTAAGTACCTCAGAGTCGCATTGGGTGACAAAAAGGAAGATTTCAAGAGCAAACGAAAGGTGCTGTCTTTACTCATCTGTTTTCATCTCTTAAAAGAAGGTGAAGTCTTCATCTCTGAAAAGAACTTGAAATTGCTTCTATTTATGTTGTTTTCTTAGCATATCGTTAAGCTGCTGGAGGGAGAATCCATTGCTTGGACTGAAGAAGATAGCGGCCTCGTGATGATGATTCGTGTTGATAAGATTGACCCCAAGAAATTGAGTTTTGCCAAGAAATAAGAACAACATTGGTCAATTCTTTTGCTTCATTCTGTTAGAAATTGACTGAACCGTTTGAAGCATTATGATTTTTAATGTAACCAAACAAAGATGGATTTTGCGGAAATATGATTTTTTGGTTTTAGAATCGAAGAATGATCAAGCCTTGTTACAAACAGGTAATAGAATAGAAATAAGACTAAGCTCTGAAACAAGGCTTGATCATTCACACTAGGAAATATTTCAGGGTAACAAGGACCCTGAAGCTGAAAAGAAGATACATATCCGCCAAGGTTAACCTTTATCCAAGGTACAGAAGGTTAACCTTTCTCAACACAGGTCTCAATGAAAAAGTTTTCAGTTTAGACAAAGACCACAGGGCACATACATAACTCACGACATGAGAGATTGCAATAACATATATCATGTGCCACAAGTTTTACACACACTATAGCAGAAGTAACTAATTCCTTAATTTAGTGTCTGATTAAGAGGCTACTCCACAATCACCGGATACAAGCTTGCTTCAAGATAATTAGGATTTGGGATTAGACGCAGCCAAATCAGAGCAGAGCTTTTCCTGCTGCTGGAAGTGTTGCTCATACTGAGCGATTAACTGCAAACACAAGATGGAATCACGAAGATGAAACAATAGCACATGGTCAAAGTATCATTCAAGTGCTTCTCGATTTTGTTTTTACCTCTTGCTTCTTCTTTTCAAGTTCACTCTTAGATGTAAAATAACCAAATATAAGAGAACCTTGATTATAAAAAAAAAAATCTCAATAATTTGACTCGTGGATGAAAAATGAAGGGAAAAAATCTGTAAATTTCTGTGTCTATACCTAAGCCATATCCCGCAGCTAATCCTAGACCATGAGTTAACATCCAGGGCCAAAGCCTCGTTCCAGTGAATCTGTTCAGAGCTACAATTACAAGTGACAAAATATAAAATAAAAAGATTTTTATCCGAATACATATACACGGACACCAACGGTCTGGAATCTGACGGATTTTTTTAGAGCGAAAAAAGAGGTTATTGGTACCTGGATGATCTGGATGTGAACAGAAATTGCGGCGAGACCCCATCGCTCTCGATTTTTGATGTACCTGACGTCAATACCCAATCGAAGAAGAAAGAGATTTTAGAAATCGCGGCGAGATCCAAACGCGTAAAGAAAGGGAGAGAAAAAAAAAAATTGATGATCATAATCAGATCTCCGATGTACCTGCGCGATGACCGATCTTACATTCGGTGCCATGTCGGAGATTATACACTCTCCTGAGTTCGATGGTCCAATGGGCTCCGTTTTCTTTTATTAGTGTCCTCCGAGCTTTTCGGCTTCCCGGTTTTGTCAAAATTGAACTGTTAAACTTGTGGAAAAAAATAAATCTATATATACATTTTTGGAAATTGACTGCACCGTTTGAAGCATTATGATTTGTTATGTAACCAAACAAAGATGCATTTTACGGAAATATGATTTTTGGTTTCAGAATCGAAGATGATCAAGCCATCTGACATTACAATCTGCTTAGAATGTTTTAGAGAGAAAATATTCTATTTTTAAAAAACCATATAAACCGGCCAACCAAAGAAGAAACAAAACTTATACAGTACGTATATGGATCTATCAGTGGGTAAGTCTCTGAACCTCTTCCTCCTGATTGCTATCTAAAGTTTCAAGCAGAAGTGGTGGCGCGTGCTGAGCATTCCCTTGATTCTCCTCTGAGTCTTGACAGAAGGAGAGAATGATTGTGTCTATCGACATCTCAACCACCGCAAAGAAAAGTGTTGCCACAATATACCCCAATGCCCAACATGCCTGTGCATAGAGACAGTCCCAAGCAAACCTATTTAAGCTCAAAACAAACATCTGTCTTTGTATTTACAATTGAGTCTAGAGAGCAAGGAAAATGATTTTACCAAAACAGGTAATAGCGGGGATGAGACTTTGTTGTGAGAAGACCGATATCTGTGCGAATCCAACATCAAGAAGCCAAAGAGAGCACTGAAGAGACTCACACAAAGCTTTCCTAGAAACAGTATTACATCTCCTATCACATTAACTTTCCCTATCCTCAGAATGTTGCTTATGATCAGCTCTGTCGCTATTGCAGACGATTTGCAGAAGCTTTTCCCTGTTATAGCAATCTGAAAAGACACCGAGAGACAGAGTAAACTATCAAGATTTTTGTTCAAAGAAATGGGCTTGTTTTGCTGAACGAAGGAGATTTTCTGTTACCATTATGTAGGCATTACGGTTAACCGATTTGATGGTCCACTCCACGCTTTTGAGACAACCACGTGAAGTGTAATGAGCCATTCTCCAAAACCAGTGATCAGGTGTGGTCCCGCTTACTTTTGTTCTACGACGAATTGCTTCGAGAATGAACCGAACAGACTCAACAAAAGAGACAATGAGTGAACCAAGAGCCACAGATCCTAGGTTGTAGCGTGCAAGCCGCTTCATTGAGGCAAAAACAGGAAGAAACGGTATCTCTGGCTGCATTGTTCAACCATAAAACCTCAATCAATACATAATAATAATCTACAGTTTCGTATATTTCGACAACACTTCCCCTGTAGCTATGGCTGAGGAAGTCATCTGACAAAGGCTTCCTTCAAAACCACGTAACCTTTACCATATTCCAACTGCTGAGATTTGTTTTTAACTTTTTCTTTTCTTGGTATTCTCTGTTTGTTACTTTCCTGAAACAGTGCAAATTCTTAAGAAGTTTCTATACTGAAACACTAGTCATTTAACACCAGAATCTTCTAAAAAAATCTGCAGCTTTCTTACAAAGCTAAATCAGAATATAAAAGTCTAAATCACAGCACTTAAAGTAAGAGCCAAGTTGATTCATTCGATCCTGTACAACAATAAGAGCCACGCCAAAATTTTCCTTAAGTTATATTAGGATACAACGATTATACTAACACAACAAACCATTAATTTACATATCCTAGTATTTTAGTTTTTTTTGTTGGGTCAAAAAATAATAATGTTTTTTAAGTATGGAAGTGAAAAAATTGATACAGAAATAAATCTAGACCTTATTCGAATAGTTCGTAAAAGTAGAGGGATCTGTTTGCAATTTTTCAAAATTTTAGATCCTGAGTTCTGCAATATAAATAAAGAACAAAAAAAATACGATCACAGGGAAATTTCGAGACAAAAATGGTGTTGAATAGTCAAGTCGATTGGTGGAGACAACAGTTAATCTGTCGTAAGGGATATGGTGCATATATACATATGCTATATATACATAAATTATGTTAAAAATTACACAAATCACATTACACCAATTATAGGATAGAATTCTCTGTCCCGCTAAAGCTCTCCACAACATTATCAATATCCATAAATACGTACTTGCAAGAAAAAGAATGACCAATCCAGCATCAAAAGCGAAATTCATAACATTGACAAGAGATCACAATCAGAGACAAGTTCAATCTCAATTGTGTAGTGAACAGCAATCATAGTTTTTATTTGTTGTACACAGAATAACGAGTAGAAATAAGATACAAACTCTGTTCTTCAGGATTCATTCATTCTTTGTCGGGTCCAACCATAAAATCATGATACGCCTTAGCTACCTAAAATCAGAGAAACACACAGATGTAGATTCTAGTTTAGAATTTGTTTGTTTAATCAAAACCAAAAAAAGAAAACAAATTCATACCAGTTCCTCATGACGAATTAACCGGAGTTTCTCTTCTTCCATACTTTTCAGCAACATTGGTTCAAGCGCAATGAATTCTGAGGTATGAAAAAATACAAAAAGAAGCAATCACAAATTTGTTATAGAAAGAAGAAAAAAAAGAGAATAATAATTTCAAAATCGAATAAACTCGAATTACCCAAAGCAGAGCCAATGAAAAATCCAAGAACAATGGATGTACCAAAACCAATCTTCTTCAAGACGCCAGCGGCGACAACTTTTACCCTGCCTCCATTCGTCTCTGCAACTGAAATAAACAGTAAGGATTAGAGCGAAAAACGACGAAATCCCACGCTCTGGTATTGTGGCGTCACTCCATCGATCTGGATTTTTTTAGAGCGAAAAAAGAGGTTATTGGCACCTGGATGTGAACAGAAATTGCGGCGAGACCCCATCGCTCTCGATTTTTGATGCACCTGACGTCAATACCCAATCGAAGAAGAAAGAGATTATAGAAATCGCGGCGAGATCCAAACGCATAAAGAAAGGGAGAGAAAAACAAAAATTGATGATCAGAATCAGATCTCCGATGTACCTGCGCGATGACCGATCTTACATTCGGTGGCATGTCGGAGATTAGGGTTTGCTACTCGGTTGTCTCTCTCTCGTCTCATCGAATGGGTAATATACATGTATTATAATTATACATGGGAAATTAGGGTTTGCTACTCGGTTGTCTCTCTCTCTCTCGTCTCTTGCAGATACCTCCTTGTACGTTTTCCACGCCGGCATCACACTCATATACACATTGGTCTACGTTGATGATATTATCGTCACAGGAAATTAAATGACTCCACCAAGGTACAAGAGTTCATAGAAGTCTTGAGCGGTAGATTCTCATTAGTTACTTATTGGGAGTAGAGGCAACAAGATCGAATGCTGAGATGCTGTTAAATCCACGTAAATACATCACGGACCTCCTTCATCGGACCAACATGGCAACAACCAAACCCGTCTCCGCTCCAATGGTGACCAATGATCGTCTTCAGCTCAATTCGGGTACACCTCTTCCAGGAGGGTCATAATATCGTATTGTTGTTGGCAGCTTGCAATACCTCCACTTCACACGTCTTGACATTGTATTTGCGGTGAATAAACTGTCACTGTGTATGCATTATCCTACTGATTTACATTGGATGGCTGTGAAACGATTTCTTAGGTATCTTGCGGGAACATGGGACAGAGGTATTTTTCTTCGCGGAGACAATGAAGTAGCTGTTCAAGCGTTTTCCAACACCGATTCGGCTGGAGATAAAGACAACTATCAGTCCACGGGGGCGTACGTACATTGTTTATCTTGGTTCTCATCCCGTGTCTTAGTCGTCGAAGAAGCTAAAGACGGTAGCACGGTCGTCGACAGAAGCGAAGTACCGTGATGTTACAGACACAGCTTCAGAGCTTTGTTGGGTAGCTTCGGCTACGAGTCAACAACCCAACCGGTCATCTATTGTGACAACATTGGCGCCACTTATTTGAGTGCTAATCTAGTTTTCCATTCAATTATGAAGCATCTGGCGTTAGACTATCATTTCATACGGGAGCTTGTTCAAGCTGGATCTCTTCGAGTTTGCCATGTTTCGTCGAAAGATCAACTAGTTGATGCCTTGATCAAACCTATTTCAGGCTCGCTTCTTGAGTCGAATTCTTCCAAAATTATACTCTATAACGGTCGTTCATCTTGCGGAGGCGTGAAGAGATAATACGATATCTTTCGAATAATCTAGTTGTTAGCACATTTGTTAGTATATTCCTTAGAGATCTTCTATATAGATCTCAACTTAGATTATATTGCTAGCCTATATAATTTTTGTATGTTGTAACATACTAGAATTTAACCCGCGGTATACCGCGGGGCTATATTTTTTTAAAAAATGTAATGTTATTTTTTAAAAGACTAACTGAAGATATATCATATTAATTTGTATTTTAAAATGTAGATATCTATTTATCAATTTTTTAAGTATAAATACGAAAACATACATTTTTTTTTAAGTAACGATGTATGGTGGATTTTAAAATTTTGAATATTTTACTCTGCAGTATACCGTGGGTCGGGTTTTTTATAACTGAAAATTTTAAATTTATGTTGGATTTCTTTTGTTAATATTGTTTCTTTTGTTTTGTGTTTAAGATTGTATAATTGTATTTTTATTGTTAATTTTAGGATTTCATCCGTGATATACCGTTATTTATTAATATCGACCCAAACCCGTCATCCCATATAAACCCGTCTATATTATCTCGTTAGCTAAATTATTAGTATTAGTATTATAAAATCCAAGAAAATAAATTATTATTGTTATAAAATCTAATAATTTTAGGATCTCACCCGTAGTATACCGTTATTTGAACGATTTTAAATTTATACTACTAATATATATTTTAAATTTATCATATAAAGTATATGATTTCAAGTTTTTTGTGTTTTTTTTTATTTAAATAAAACAACGGCTTAAATGATGATAGATATAGTTCTTTTCCTGTATGTGTATTTGATTTTTCTATGTGAATATTTTGATTATTATAAAATAGTATTTTTATTGCTATGCAAAATGTTAATATAAATATTTGCTATAAATTTTTTTGAAGATATATAGAAAGATTGTGTAAATATTTTTAGAAACAAATTAGGCAAGATATTGTTTGGTTAATATCTTTTATTTAAATTTTGTAAAATTAATAATAAATGCCAATGGCATTCTTTGTAAATACTACCTAACCCTAGGATTTATTTGCTAAAAGTCATCCAAAAATGTATATATAGATTACTCATTCAATCAAGCATCTTCTCTATACAAGTGACATTTTTTCTCTTGAAATAGTGCTCGACTTTTGCCATTGATCTAACACGACTTTCTTTTTTCTGAAGTCGTGCTCGATTTTTTCTATTGAACATGTAGAATTAGGTAAAGAACTAACTTGATATTATTGATTCCCAAACTATATATGGTATTTATACAAGATGATCTCAACAAGAGATAAACATAAAATCCTAACTATAGGAACTAGAATTTATCCTAATAATATATGATATTATCTCAAGACTCCCCCTCACGTTGGAGTGTGAAGGTTCTGAACACCCAACTTGGACATAAGATAAAGGAACTGAGAACAATCGAGTGCCTTAGTAAATATATCCGCTAACTGTTCAGTAGTACGAACATGATGTGTGGTGATAATGACGTCACGGACCGCATCACAAACAGAATGACAATCAGACTCAATGTGCTTGGTACGCTCATGGAACACTGGATTAGCAGCGATATGAAGAGCAGCTTTGTTATCACAAAATAAACGGGCCGGCGCAGACTGTTCAATGCCTAATTCTTTCAACAACTTTCGTAGCCATTTAATTTCCTGAAGAGCAACAGACATAGCTCTATATTCGGCTTCTGCGGAAGAGTGAGAGACTGTATCTTGCTTCTTCGTTTTCCAAGAAATAGGCGAATCACCGTAGACCGTCGAGTTAAAGGACATGTTTGAAAATCAGAATCACAATAAACTTCGAGCTGTAAATCTTGGTCTGCTTTCAGCAAGATGCCTTAACCTGGCGAGCCTTTCAAAAACCGAACAATACTCATTATAGCATCCAAATGAGCCTCCCGAGGAGCTTGCATGAATTGAGATAAAACATGTACCGAATAGCTTAACTCTGATACCATGTAAAATTAGGTAAAGAACTATATTATTGATTCTCAAACTATGGTATTTATACAAGATGATCTCAACAAGAGATAAACATAAGATCCTAAACTATAGGAACTAGACTTTATCCTAATATTATATGATATTATCTCAATAGAACACACGACTTTTTTCTCTTGTAGTTGGGCTCAACTTCTGCCATTGATCAAACAAGAGTCTTCTTTTTTTATATTCGAACAGTATTCGCCGAATGCTACTTCATCAAAGTCTTGTACATTGCTTAAAAAGAGAAACTCAAGTGGACGAGTAGAGGCGATGGAGTCTTGATTAAAAGGCTATTTATAAGTCTTATTATTAATCGAGCAGTCAGAACTGGACAAGTGTTTCCGTAGATGAAATGGGAAGAGAAACAATAGTGTTCAAAATGATAGAAAAGATGGATGCCCAATACATGAATGCAAGGAAGATTAAGAGTCAAGGCAAAGTTCGCTGAAAGAATTGGGTATTTCTAAGAACATGTATGTGTTACTACCTATGCAATCCTCAGTCTCAACCAAGGTACAGAAGGTTAACCTTTCTACACACAAGTCGCAAAGAAAAAAATTCAGTTTAGACAGAGACCACAGGACACAGAACTCACGACATGAGAGATTGCAATAACATATACCATGTGCGACAAGTTTTACACACACTATAGCAAACGTAACTAATTCTTAAATTTAGTGTCTGATCACTAGGCTACTTCACAATCACCGGATACAAAAGTAATTCCTTAATTTATTGTCTGATCACTAGGCAAGACCACAATAACCACATAAAAGCTTGCATCAAGATAATTAGAATCTAGGATCAGACGCTGCCAAATCTAACCAGCGCTTTTCTCTTCGCTGGAAGTATTCCTCATTCTCCTTAAGTGCCTGAAAACACAAGATGGAATGATGAAGATGAAACAATAACAAATGGTCAGAGTGTCATTCAAGTGCTTCTCGATTTTGTTTTTACCTTTTGCCGCTTCTCCTTAAGTTCCGATATAACATAGGCTGACAGATAATGACCTTGATACAAAAATATAAAATAAAATACAAGCTGATTAATTCAACTTTTCAATTACGAGCAAAAATCTCTCACAATAATTTGACTCGTGGATGAAAAATTAAGGGAAAAAAATCTGTAAATTTCTCTGTCCATACCTAAGCCATATCCCGCAGCTAATCCTAGACCATGAGTTAACAACCACGGCCAAAGCCTCGTTCCAGTGAATCTGTTCAGAGCTACAATTACAAGTGACAAAATATAAAATAAAATGATTTTTATCCGAATACATATACACGGACACCAACGGTCTGGAATCTGAAGTTATTGGTACCTGGATGATCTGGATGTGAACAGAAATTGCGGCGAGACCCCATCGCTCTCGATTTTTGATGTACCTGACGTCAATACCCAATCGAAGAAGAAAGAGATTTTAGAAATCGCGGCGAGATCCAAACGCGTAAAGAAAGGGAGAGAAAAAAAAAAATTGATGATCATAATCAGATCTCCGATGTACCTGCGCGATGACCGATCTTACATTCGGTGCCATGTCGGAGATTATACACTCTCCTGAGTTCGATGGTCCAATGGGCTCCGTTTTCTTTTATTAGTGTCCTCCGAGCTTTTCGGCTTCCCGGTTTTGTCAAAATTGAACTGTTAAACTTGTGGAAAAAAATAAATCTATATATACATTTTTGGAAATTGACTGCACCGTTTGAAGCATTATGATTTGTTATGTAACCAAACAAAGATGCATTTTACGGAAATATGATTTTTGGTTTCAGAATCGAAGATGATCAAGCCATCTGACATTACAATCTGCTTAGAATGTTTTAGAGAGAAAATATTCTATTTTTAAAAAACCATATAAACCGGCCAACCAAAGAAGAAACAAAACTTATACAGTACGTATATGGATCTATCAGTGGGTAAGTCTCTGAACCTCTTCCTCCTGATTGCTATCTAAAGTTTCAAGCAGAAGTGGTGGCGCGTGCTGAGCATTCCCTTGATTCTCCTCTGAGTCTTGACAGAAGGAGAGAATGATTGTGTCTATCGACATCTCAACCACCGCAAAGAAAAGTGTTGCCACAATATACCCCAATGCCCAACATGCCTGTGCATAGAGACAGTCCCAAGCAAACCTATTTAAGCTCAAAACAAACATCTGTCTTTGTATTTACAATTGAGTCTAGAGAGCAAGGAAAATGATTTTACCAAAACAGGTAATAGCGGGGATGAGACTTTGTTGTGAGAAGACCGATATCTGTGCGAATCCAACATCAAGAAGCCAAAGAGAGCACTGAAGAGACTCACACAAAGCTTTCCTAGAAACAGTATTACATCTCCTATCACATTAACTTTCCCTATCCTCAGAATGTTGCTTATGATCAGCTCTGTCGCTATTGCAGACGATTTGCAGAAGCTTTTCCCTGTTATAGCAATCTGAAAAAACACCGAGAGACAGAGTAAACTATCAAGATTTTTGTTCAAAGAAATGGGCTTGTTTTGCTGAACGAAGGAGATTTTCTGTTACCATTATGTAGGCATTACGGTTAACCGATTTGATGGTCCACTCCACGCTTTTGAGACAACCACGTGAAGTGTAATGAGCCATTCTCCAAAACCAGTGATCAGGTGTGGTCCCGCTTACTTTTGTTCTACGACGAATTGCTTCGAGAATGACCCGAACAGACTCAACAAAAGAGACAATGAGTGAACCAAGAGCCACAGATCCTAGGTTGTAGCGTGCAAGCCGCTTCATTGAGGCAAAAACAGGAAGAAACGGTATCTCTGGCTGCATTGTTCAACCATAAAACCCCAATCAATACATAATAATAATTGACAGTTTCATATACTTGCTCAGAATTGTTAGCTTACCGATGCTTCCCCTTGAGCCCAATAATAGGAGGCAACAGAGCCAGCAATCACTGTCGCGGAAGATGCAATGAAGAACTGTGTAGCCCAATAGCAACCAAACAGGTGGAAGAATATAGCAATGGTGATGTGAGGAGTGTAACGTATGCTGTAACCGCAACAACGGTCACAATTCACTTTCTTTAACACGAGATCATATGCGCAGCAGTTAGTGTTGTTGCAGTTGTTCTGAACAACTTGACCAGAGCTGAATAAATGGAGAGCCGCTGATAACCAGAACATATAGAATATCGCGAGCATCGCGAACGGTATAGCCGGGAATATAATAAGCGCTTGAACTTCTCCAATTACTTTAGCAGCTACCTGGATTTCACGAGTATACAGCAAAATGACCTTTCTAGCACAAACCAAACTGGTAACCACACTACTAAGAAAGTAAAACTCGCCTTGAGGACTGATGTTGCCATGAGAATTCGGCGGATAATGGCGATTGAAGTGAGAATAGCAATAACTGAGATAAAAGTCATCAGAATGGCGACTCCACGAACATGAGTCAGCTCCTGGGAAGAAGCAAATGCCAATAAGCTTGGAAGAAACTGGGACTAATGGTCTCATAATTAAGTGAACATGAAAGCAGCGTACGCAGAAAATGTAAACTTACTCGACCATACACATGAAAGTATGGGTCATGCTCACCAATAATAGGTGTTACAGCATCATTCCCAATCCATCCAGCTACAAAAGAAATAAAAGTGGAATAAGTATATTGATTCCATATGACTTGAAACATAGAGACATACAATAGAAATTTGATTTCCTAACCAACCTTTTAAGTAATAGAACATTGTCACTGATATTAAGAGCATGTTGAAAAGGACAACAGTTATCCAGGGCATGGCGGCAACAAAATGTCGAATAAGAAGCAGCCAGATAATGGATAGAAACAGTGGGACAAGGCCTCCACAAACGATCAATACTGGCCATGACTTCCCAATATCAGCCACATAACGCTGCGATTGACAACCAACAAAAAGCTTAGAGCATTCTTCAAAGTCATCATTTTACAAGGAAATGTTTACATGTCAATAGAGAAGAGGATCATTCTAACCTTTAGAACTGAGGCACGAGAATTCATTGACCTTCTAATTGATTTGTCTATGATCATGTCCTCTTGAATATTCACACCACCCATCTGCTGCCAGTGGCGTAAGGATGAGTTTGAAGCACGAGCAATATATTGGCAGCTCCAATAAACTAAAGAATCAAAAGAACAAACCTTGTTACAAACAGGCAATAGAATAGAAAATAAGACTAAGCTTTGTGCATATATAATGCAGTCTTACCATTCACACTAGGGAATATTACAGGGTAACAAGGACCCTGAAGCTGAAGAGAAGAATTCCTCATTTCAGGAGTAAGAAACTCAAAGTAATCGTAATTCCTATCGATCCAATCATTCATCTTGAGACGAATCTCACCATCAGGATAGTCACAGACCCAGTTGAGAGTATCATCAGTTGGTGCAGGACAATCCAAGAGACAAATAGTTCTAGCATTAGCCAATTTAAGTTCCCCATCTTTCAAACCACTTTCATAAACTTGGTTAGGGTTTAACCAATATCTAATCTCAAGTTGAGTAAGGTCACGGTGACGATGCTTGCTACCACACACATTCCCTTCATAGTCCAATCCATAAGTGAGTCTGCAATAACAACAATTCATATAAGACATCACCACTCAAAACGATTTTTGATTAACAGAACACAAATTCACAGAACAATTAGCACAACTACGTTCTTTAAACTGTGTTCACACCAAATCTCTTTCCTAAAGAACACCAAGAAGAAGAAAAATAGGAACTTTAACCCCTACAAATAGAACGATAAAGGTACAAACTTTGGTATAATAAAAGGCAAAATCCATGGAAGAAGAATTGAAAACCCCATTAGAGGTTCGAGGAAGCTTTGTTTGTCCAAAGAGATTTGGAGCAAAATCCAACGAATATTTACCTTAAGGGGTTGCCTTGGTTGAAACCAAAGCTGGAATTGACAATCATTGAAACCCAAAAGGCAATGAAGATGACAAGAAACGTAATATCTCTGCACTTTCTATTGTGCTTGATGATCCCATCATTTGGAGCACTCCCATCACTTGAAGTATATCTTCCAATCACAGCTCCCAAAGGTCCTCTCATCTTTGCCACAGCTATGTCTCTTCTTCACAGTCTGAAAAACCCTCGAGGTCAAAAATAGGAATTTCGGAGAGAACAACTTTTTTTTACTAAAGAGTGTCTTCTCTTTCTCTCTCTCTGTGTTCATTGTTCAAGAAGAGTGTGAAAGCATTGGGAGGGTATTTATGTCTTTGTCTAATTTTAAAGTGATTTTTTCTTTTTGGTAAAAGATATAATTAAATGCCATGGTTTCTGTTCAATCTTATATCATCCGTGGAACATGAAAAGAATCCATGTCTGGTTTTGATGGGCTTTGAGATTTTTTTAACCATTTTTAAATGGTTCCTTAATCCTTATTATTAAACCTATTTTAAAATGTTTGTTCTTCTTTTTTTGTATAGATTTTAAAATCAAACTTTTTTTGTTCTTATTCTCACTGTGAGATCTGCAACTGTAACGCCATCCACTTCATTAAAAATACAATGATTCCACTTTTTCTTTGTTGTATTATTAAAACATGACTAAATAGGACCACAGTTATGTGTACAAATTGATGACAAAAAGAAAACAGCTTTTTATTCATGTTTTATTAAAAGTTTAAATCAATCTGGTGATAAAGAACTGAATGTGGTGTGAAACCTTCGTTGTGAGGAAATTTTGTTGTCTTTGTAGTTTTATTTTTTGTTAATCTCTCACAAAAATTCTTGCAAAGGGGGAGGAAAATTTTTGATAACCTTCCCAAAAGTAGGTTTTAGTGATATTTAATAACCTTTCTAAGTACTTCCTCCGTTTCAAAATATAAGTTGTTTTGGAGAAACTTTTTTGTTTCAAAATATAAGTCATTTTCAAGTTTCTATGCAAATTATATATTACTTTAATATTTTTTTATTATTTTTATTATGCAGTCTTTTTTATGATTGGTTGAACTTTTAAAAAGTAGATCTTCTTAATCGGCGTGTTTTTAGTTAAAACGCTTTATATTTTGAAATGGAGGGAATATTATTTATTTTGTATTTGAAAAATCAACTCTTCGAGAATTGAGGAAAGGCAGCAGAAAAAAGCATGGGCCAGCACCTTGTTTTTTTCGATTTTTTATAAAAATATTTATTGCTCTGTTTTTCGTTATAATTTTTATATATTTAATTTATCTTTCTGCGTAGAAAAGAATTACTTCATTGACGAAATAAAGGTAAGAATTATTTCAAGTTACGTGTAGAGAGACTGACAGTGACAGATGTGTATGTCGTTCTTTCTCTACCAAAGCTAGCATATAACATTACATTTATATACTAATCTTTGTTTTGTGAAGCTTTGATCTGATAATTGTATTGACAAATGAACTTGTGAAAATGTTATTTCCATTAATTAATATAGATTCTGCAAAACTCTTTAACTTGTCGAGTTCATAGATAAATGAGAAACCAGTTCGTTAAATAATATTAAGCATAAAATTATTTAGCAATAAAAGAAAAACGAAGGAACATTGCCCAATTAAAACAAGGGCAAGTTCATAAACAAGCAAAGAATTGAAATCAGCCCCATTCGTAAAAAAAAAGAAACGTTGCGTTTTGACCAGAGCACGACTTAGTTTTGTAGTTAAACGAACTGGCGTCCTCGAGAAGAGAAGGTTTGGCCAAACCACCAAGAAGAAGGAACAACGTTCAAAAACGTCTGCGTTTTGCTGTCAGTCAGAGTAACTTTGAAGGAGAGTCTCTGTCCCCGGAGATCGCCGGAGCTCTGCCAGTTGGCACCCCAATTACGGGTCATCTGAAGCCAAGTCTTTCCCTTTGAGCCTCTTACCGCTACCGCTCTCACCGAGCCGCCACCGCCAACGTTTGAGATCATTACCATATTGAAGTTACCTTGCCCTCTCATCGTGAACCTCACGCCTCCTCTTCTTTTGCATCCCACCCTATTATATATATATATGTAAACATTACATTACAAAATTATTAGATAATTTGCATATATTACTTTGTGCTATGTTTTTATGTAACCTAAGTGTTTAAACCTTTTTTCCAGATTCGTTTGAAGGATTGGTTGTTTTGTTGTTTTGTTTTTCTATTTGCGATCGTATGTATACAATTATACATACATGTTACTTATAATGTGATGCTGATGTATTGTAAACGGCAATGCTAAACTTCAATGATATTTTCCTTACAAATGTTGCTTTAATGATCTAGCTAGTGATCATTTTGATTCAAGCAGTATCCCAAATTTTACCAAGCAAATTGATCAAGTTTAAACCTCTTACCATGGATTATAGACAAAACAATAATGTTAATAACTTAAAATAATGATAGGGTTGTTAGTTGTATAATGTCCTCTACCTTACATTTTAAAAAGAAAAACTCCAAAACATATACTCTCTCCGTTTCATAATATAAGTCGTTTTAGTTTTAAGCACGCAGATTAAGAAGATCTGCTTTTAAAAAGTTCAACCAATCATAAAAAAGACTGCATAATATAAAAAATTATAAAATATTAAAATAATATATAATTTGCATAGAAATTTGAAAACGACTTATATTGTGAAACAAAAAATTTTCTCCAAAACGACTTATATTATGAAACGGAGGGAGTATAATTTAATATATAATTTCAGTTTAACTTGTCAAAAAGATAAAAACTGTATGCTTTAAATAGCAATGGAGTCTTATAGCATTGAATACGTTACCGGCGATAGAAGACAGGGACGATGCCTTCATTGCCGCGACGGGCGATTCGGAAGAAAGCTGGGGAGGACATGTCAAAGTGATGGCGAGGGAGATTGCACCAACCATTATTGTTGTTCGACGGACAAAAGTTTGTAGCCGTCACCCTCACGGTGGCTCCTCGGAGACACCACTTAGGATCCGCAGGAAAGTCGCACCTCACCTGGTAGCACCCACCGCAAGACTCGCCGCTTCTGAATAACGCACCGCTTAGCGCCGCCGTGTGGGCTCCGAATCCGGCGTGGTACGGATTGTCATACCCACAAGCTCCTCCTGTAAAATTGTATTTAAATTTTATAGTTGACTATACAAAAACTAAAGTAACAAACAAAAAAACTTATATTAAACTAAAGTTTAATGGACTATATATTTACCAAGTGAAGCAGGGCTATCATTAACACCATAATACGTTGCATGAGCTCTTATCCAACCGTTAGAACACATCCCCACACTTAACGTACCAACCAAGAGAATAACCGTTACCAAATATTTTCCTTTCATATCCATAGATAATTTTATTTTAGGTAAGTATTTATTTCTCGTGATGAAACAAAGAGAGGTCGAAAACAGAAAGCTTTGAGTTCACAAGTGATTGCTTGAAGAAGAAGGAAGACATTTTGACTCGTTTTATAAAGATCTATAATAAGTATTAACGCGTTTTGTCGGTGATTATTACGACTTATTTCACTTACATGCACCACAATCTCATGCATGTGTTCGTTATCTTTCTTAGTTGGATCCTTCTTCCTTTTTATTGCTCTTGAAAATTCTCTAATAATTGAATATAGGTCTAAACACAAGGGAACATTATTTCCTAGTTGAAATATTAAAACACTTTAATGTCATATAGCTATCTTTGGTGAAGTACGTAGTTCGAATTTTTTGTTTGATATGTTCATAGAACAATATTAAGTAACAACATTTTATTTTTTGAGGAGAATTACCCATAATAACCAAATAATATTTGAAATACTACAAGATAATGATATATTTAGCTCTATATTTGGTTAGAAATTGAAGTGTCTTGTAATGTGACTGTAACTAACATTTGGTTCAGATCTTTCAAGTTAGAGGAGAAAAAATGTGTTAATGAAAGAGATTGGTATAATTGACAAACGTTTTTGATATCTAGCTGTATATTTAGTTCAGGTTTTTGTATCTTAGTTACTCGGTGCTATCAAAGGTTGCGATCTAACTGCATATTTCAAAATTATAGTTTCCTAAGTTTTAGTCTACTGAATTATTTAATGCGAATTCGCTTAAAAGATGACCTGTGTAATCCGAGACTAAACATGGGAATCCAATTAAAATGATTTGGAAAGGAAACGCGTTTTCTCATGATCTTTTAGTACATGGTAGATAGTATATACACTTACACTAGATTTTAACCCGCGGTATACCGCGGAATAATTTAATTTTAAAGTTAGTATAAAAACATTTTGTAAATTGTATCTCCTTATAACATATTTATTTATATTATAGTTTACAATTGTTATTAAGTAACGGTATACCACGAGTCCACGAGACAATTATTAATAAACTGAGGATTTAACCCGTATTAAAGCAGTATATAAATATTGATTCAAATTCTTCCGCCATATAAATTCTTTCCGAAATATAACTCGTTCCGTAATTTCTTAATCCGTCCCGTGATTTGTTTTTATTTTAAAATTTAATGATTATTTATTATATATAAAAGTTTACAAATCATATCATTCTTTAAGACATTTATATTTTAATAAACTGAAGATTTAATATGTATTAAAGCGGCGTGTTAATGATATTTAAAATTTTATAAATATTGTTATTAAGTAACATTATACCACGAGACAATTTTTGGTTTTATACAATCTTTTCTAAATGAAACTGATTTAATATGTCTAATATTGGTGGTATTAAAAAAATAAGGATTTAATCTGTATTATATGATGATTCAAAATAGTTAAAAACAAATCAAACAAAGATGATAGGAGAATCATAATTCTAAATCTTAATCAAATCTTCTAAATATCTAAATTATTAAATATGGAATATCCGGTGTATGAGTTGGGTTAAATATAACCCGACCCAACAATTTTTTTGTGAAGGATTTAAAAAACGGGTCGGATATCCGATTAACCCAGAAGCATTTTTACCCACCCGTCACCAAAGTGTTGCAAAAATACTAGTATAGATAATTGGATTAGAAATCGAAAACACACATATGATATAATAATAGATAGATATATAGAACATGTCCTATGCAGTACACAGAATGAAATAGTACGGAAGCCTACATTACTCAAAAACATATGTATGTATATGCTGTACGGTGAATTAGAGCTTAGAAAGAAGAACATGGCATGTGGTTCAACGTGGAGTTATGCTTCTCATGGCGTCGGTGGATTTATTTTTTTGATTAAACCAGACAAAGAGGACCCACGATAACATTTATAGTCAAAAACTCAAAAGACTTTACACAGATTACAACAGAGAAGATAAGGTAAAATGGTTCTGAGTGACAAAATAGTCAAATTTTGTTACTCGACCAAGAATCTTTCTATAGTTTTCTCCAATGTCTCTCTAGGGACAGCTCCAATGATACTATCTTTCTTCTCACCGTCTTTGAAGATGATTACTGTTGGAACGCTGCGTATCCCGTAACGGTTCGCTGTGTTTGGGCTCTCGTCGGTGTTGATTTTGTAGAATTTGAACTTCCCTGCGAAATCCTTGGCCAGTTGGTCAACTATGGGGTGAATCATACGGCACGGTCCACACCATGGTGCCCAGAACTCGACCAATACTGGAACATCTGATTCCAGAACCTGTGTTTGCCATTCTGAATCAGACAGGTTTGGTACTGCAACATCAAAACAAACTAGTTAGATTTCTCAATGGTGATTGAAGTTATGCAAATCAGACTATTAGAGAGAACTGTTCTGTGAAATAGTATACAGAGCACATCAATGCTCAATGCCAAGACTCTGGTTCTTTCTTGAGTTATATCAAACCATATGTTAACAGGAAGCAATCAAGATTCTTATCACAGAGTATATTCAGGAACTTTATTTTCGATTAGTATAATCAGTCAATCCTGGTTTGATCATGAAAGTGTAACGGAAACACGGGTTCGGGTATGATGGGGATGCATAGAACAGAGTAAAATCCAAGTAACTTGATAGATAAAGAAGCTGAGTCCTCAAACGACGTTGACCACAATATGTGTTATGGTTCATATCTCCGAGTTCTAGTATTAGAATCCACTCCCTGTGAATCCTAGTTTCAGAGAACTAAATCAGTGAATACAAAAGACTAAATCTATGTTTAATGTTCAGATCTACGAGTTCCACAATCAGAATCCAAACCGTATGAATCCTGCTTTCAGAGAATGGAACAGTAACAGACCAGAATCAAACAGTAGAAAAACAATTCTCAAATGAGATTTTACCAAAATACTACGAGTTCTAATCCCAAAGAATCCAATGATATAGTTCCTAAGAATCCAAGTTTCAAAGTAGTGAATTATGATTACAAAAACTAATAAACTTGTACACGATTTGGTGCTTCTTAATCACAACTCCTAAATTGGAAAACTTATTAACTTGAGTCACAGATAATCATTCCACATAATTAGCAATCACAAAAAAGGCTTAATTTTACACAGAAATTGGTTAAGACTACACTTCCACACAATCCATGAGAGAACAAAACGAGAAGAAGAATGAAATTAAGCTATATACCTTCGACGGCAGCAGTGGTGTCCTGAGCCTCACAAGCGATTCTTCCACCGCGAGCAGCTCTGGATCTACGATTCGCACCAAGACTCGCTGACTGAGTCACCAAACTCCGCGAACATTTCAAACCTCTGAATTCCAGAAACCTGACTGGGGAAATCCGGCGTCCTGAAACCGACGGACCAGCTGAAGTAGATGAAATCGAAGCCGCAATCGGGAGAGAAAATACGCGGGTCACGGTGACGGAATCGATCAACGACGCCATTGAAGGAGCAGAGAATTTTTTTTAGTGGTGTATTTGGAATGACTCGAGAACATACAGAGGCAATGTTATCCTCCCCACGTCATTCATTCTTCCTATATGATAACGACAGCGTTTAGAGGACGACAGCGTTTAGAGGACTCCGAGTAAACCATCAATTTTTGTCTATAAAATCCGATTTCGGTTAAGCAGCACCATACCAATCCGATTCTGTTTTCTGTAACACAGACACATTTTCTTGCGCGTTTAGTTAGATTAAAGGGATAATATCGTATAAATTTAAAGGGATAAATATCGTATAAAGTAAATATCTCGTTGATCTTTTTTATCATATAAATTAAAGGGATCATATATATATATATATATATATATATATATATTAAAGGGATCATATATTTGTTTAATTTTTTTTTTTAATCTGTACGTATTAGTAGTTTCGCAAGGTAGTGTACAAGTAAAACCAATAGGGGTTGCAAAGGGTATCGCCAAGGATGAGTGCTCCATGTAAACCAATTGGCTCTCTGTCCGCGGGAAGTGCTGTCAATGCGAATTATACTTAAAGCGTGTAACAGTTCCTACAAGGGTAAGAGATACAAATTTCCCTGAATGCCGCCACTGGGTTGCTCAACGAGGATTCTGTTGCCGATGCGGTGAAGAGGTGGATCGGAGGAAGAAGATGGGAAACCTTTCGAGTACATCTCCGAGAGTGCACAGCTGAGCCACGAATATGTAACAGCCATGAAGAAGCAAAAGTCTGGTATCGGGTTTGGGCAGAGGAAGCTTCACTTGGTTCTCGGTCTGCACCACACACTTTTGGATAGCTGTCACATCGCGCGGCTTGCAGACGGAGACAAGCATCTGGTGGAACAGGTTGGCATAAGGGATGATCTGGGGCGTTTCATCTGTGCATATGTGAATTTTAATTTACAGAAAGAAACGAAAAAGCAATAATGGTTTGTGGTCATAGTGTTGTTCTAGAAGGACTCTGTTGTCGATGCAGATCAGCTTTGGATGAAAGCAGTTACGTGGAGAATAATAATCTCATACCTTTCGATTTCCTATCCAAGGGCGCTTGAAATTGAGCCCTCAATACGTTGGTTTTATGAAGCGCCATGTCATGATAAAAACTTTACAAGAGAAGAAGAAGCTTCACTTGGTCCTTGGTCTACGAGGCACACTCTACGACTACATTATAATTTCTCATTTATCCGATAGAGAGAAGCATTTGATCGGAGAAGTAGATTCAAGGGACGATCTTTGGCGGATCACCGCACAGTCCCATGAAGGGTTGATAAAATTGCGCCCTTTTGTAGCCGAATTCTTGCGTGAAGCAAACAACACGCTACATGCTTACTCGCTTTCCCGGCCAGAACACTCCGATTATATGCTCAAGTTGCTTCATCCGCATCAAACCTACTTTGGCCGTCGCGTCATCTGCAGTAGAGACACGTGTATGAAAACACTTGACCTTGTCTTGGTCGACGAACGTGTCCTGGTTGTCATGGATGATCAATGTTCAACTTGGTGGACGGACCATACCAACCACAGATCACGAGTTACCGTTATTTCCAAAGACCCACGACGACCCAACACAGTGGATTGATTGCAAATCTTTTCAACTTCCTTAAGGCAAACTTGTTGGAATATCGTTGCCACCATTTGGCTCCAAAATCTTACTCGGAGGAAGGTATAGATGAGACTGAAGAGGATGGAGGATTGGCCATTGCTCTCAAGTTCCTCAGGAATCTTCATCAACGATTCTTCGACGGAGAATATATCAAGACGTGAGGATGTTGCTTCATACATTATCATTTCAACAAAATGAAGCCCAAAGCTAGGCTCATATTTAGCCTAACAAAACTTGTTGAAATTTATTGCATACCATCATATTTAATTTCTACTTGATTTGTCCAAGATTAATACGATTCCCATAGTTGCACTTAAATGGGATGTGCAGATGGTTTTTTTTTTTTTTGCTATTATTGGTTCATAATTCTGGTAGCAAAAGACGAAAATAAATAAATCTGGAAGCAAATAATGCTTTTTCCAATATTTGTGGAAAATTGATGAACAAGGAATAATAAATTTACCTAGCGTTTGAGTCTTTTTGTGTATAAGAAGAGACGTATGGAGAAAAGAGAGGCTAAAGAAACTGAGAGCAAAGATAGAGAAATTGTCCTGTTAAAACAGAACTTAATTCAAAGAGGTTGTGCTGAAATCGTTTGTTTGCGTTGAGAGAGGTTTACTTTAAAAAAAGATTGTTAAATTTTGAATATTAATTAAAAAATCTTGTAGAAAACAATATATCTCTTTTATTCTTAGAATGTTTAAATTTACATAAAACTCAATCTTTATATTAAAAAAAAAGCTAGGAAAAGGAGGTACATAATCAATAATCAATTGATTTTCTTAGATATTTGCAAAAATCAATTTGGGAAGTTAGTCTAATCGAGAACTTCTAATCGATACAGTGATGTTTACTGAGATACAAAGTTGCAACATTGTTGTCCCTTGATTATTTTTTTCGTATTCCCGAATAACACTCATAACCAAAACCACTAATTTTATTATAAAATTGGAATGTGAAGGAAAATATAATGAGACAAACAAGAAGAAAACGTCATTAAAAATCATTTCATCAAAGAAGGTTTATGTCGTCTAAGCCAGTAATCTCAAGCAAAAACAGAAGCATTTTGTGAAGAATTAAAAGAGTTACTTCTTCTTCCTTGTGTACTTGTCATCCTCCTCTTCCTCATCATCGTCAATATCATCAAAATCTTCATCGTCGTCGATATCCACGTCATCAATTTCTTCCTCATCAAAATCTGTCTCCTCCTCTGAATCAGCGTCCTCGTTGTCCACCACTCGCTTTCCATGAGCCGCCTCCATTTTCCCTATCCTCTCCGAGAAACCCTCCTTCTGAACGAAGCCGACACGTAAACCGGATTGCATAACCGGAAAAGTTTCAGAGAAAACAGGGTATTGGCTAGCCGCCGGCGCCGTCTGGTTAAACCAAAGCAGAGATCGAATGGCCGGTCCATTGTTCTGCACAGTCTCAGTAAGATTGGTCGTACGTCCACGGAGGAGTAGATTCGCCACTGATTTTCCGTCACGGATGAGTGATCTCGCCGCCGATGATGAAGCTGAAGCCATTTTTGATCGTAGAGTGTGGGACGGATAGTTTAGGACGGCTAATATACAGAGAGGAAAGGGTTTAGGGTTTTTAGTAGGAGAGGGAGGACACGTGGATGGCCACGTGTACATTTACGTATCTCCGGTTTTTTAGAACCTAGTTTAGATTTTTTCAGTTGAAGCAGAAGTACATTCACATCTTTTGTCTTGATATATGAACATAAAGCTTAAAAGTCAAAATCTAAACCTTGTATCGTTGACTTATACTCACTTTCTCTGTGAAAAAGGTAGCTCAGAAAATTGAGGCTATAATAATAATAAATCTGACTGGTAAAGGCAACTATACAAATGAGAGTGACTTCTCAGTTCTCAATAGTCTTTTAAGATTTATGTCATAGTTAAGAGAAAAAAAGAGGATCCATGATTGTAAGAAAAGGAGAAACTAATTAAGTCACCGGTTGGTTTCTTCAGAAATTAAGAAAAATTAAGGGAAAAAAAAAGGAGCCATGGAGATCAACTAGAAGAAACTCTGTCTCTCTTGGCGCTTGATCTGGTATTGTGGCTACTCTCTGCAACGTTGTTAGTCTCAGGTGCTTTGTCTTCTCCTTCCGGTTCGAGACCAAGGACACCTAGAAGAATAAACTCTTTCAACAGCACTGTCTCCACAAAGGTAGCCACATCTGTCCTAAACTTCTTAGAGCTACTGTTCTCGCTATTCTCTTCCACATCTTGAGCCCCCTTCACCAGAAATCCCGGTATACCTCCGTTTCTATAGGCATTACACGCCTTCAACACGTCGTGAGCACAGCTGAAGAAATGTCCATACGCAAAGTTTTCAAAATACTGTAGCATTCAAAAAACCCACCAGAAACAATCAATCTCAAGCTTTAGTCGTCAAAAGGTTTACGCTTTTTTATTAGTATAGAGAGACAAGTGTAATGGAATGAGGTTTTTGTTGTTACCTTGGGTGGTCTCCTCATGGTGTAAACCATAGTCTTTAAAGACAGTAGGAGTGTGTTTTCGCTGTAAGCCTTAGAGCTATTCTCACCATGTGCAGAACCCGCTGAACTCTCGTAGCCAGGCTCGTTGAAGTAAGGTTTTTGATTTAAGATGAGACCTTGGATCGAGACAAGAACCTGCAACATTGTGGAAGTGTTGGGGATCCATTTCTCCCTCTGGCTACCACTCCAAGTGCCGAGAAGACTCAGACAGACTTTCCCACAATTGTACAGATTCGGGTTGATTCTCAGCCCACCAGAATGGTAATGAACAGTCTTGTAAAACCAAAAGGAATTTCACATATCAAAAGAGACAACCTTTAGGAAACAACAAAAAGAAACTCAATTTGACAAAGTTCAGTTGAAATACCGGTGGCACAGAAGGGTATGTATCCGGGAAGAAGATATCAAAAAAGAACAGACCATCATGGTATGGAGTTCCTTGCGCTCCGATAATTACAGCCCTTAAAAGATCCATCCTAGATTCATAAGCTCTGACAAATATCATATCTGTCCCAATAACAACAAAAGCAAAAAAAAAAAAAAATAATGTAAGAAAAGTTGCTTATAAAAGCTGCAGAAATTGATGTATAAGACAGCGTGAATACCTGGTAAATCTTTCTCAAGAATTTTCCACTCGTCTTGAATCCTTTTCGCCCATTCCTTCGAATGCTGATAAGACAAAGAAATAGTTAAATCTTGAAAAACATAACATTCCATAACAAAAATTAACTTATGCTCATCGGTCGCAACCTGCTTTGAAGAATTTCCCTTAGAAGCATAGTGGTGATCTGAAAAATCTTCGACGATGTCAAATCTTTTGAAAAACAAATAAAGCCCCAGAAAATCCTCCATATTTCTTTTAACTCTGGAAGCATCCGGAGGTAATATCGCCTCTTCCACTCTATACCGAGCACCATAACCTTTAAAACCGGGTGTGTTTGGTGGTACCTGAAGCAATAAACCAGAAGAACCTGCAGCAGGAGCTGGAGCCTCCCCCAATACTGTATCAGGAGTCTGAGGCTGAAAATGATTGGAAAAATACGTTTTGGAGGTTGAAGAACCGAGAGTAAAAGGTGGTTGAAAAGCCTTGCTGTTCTGTGGCAAGGCATAAGCAGAGTTTGGTATGACTCCTCCAGCTTTGTGCGGTAAAGCATTCCATGGTTGAGCAATAGGGGTTGCCATATCTGGGAAAGAAAACTGAGATTGGATTCCACTTCCTTTTGTTGCTTTCTTGGAACTGTTACCGGTAACATCTGACTTATTAGACGATTTGCTGCTTCCACTCGCTGATTCCTTGTCAGCTGAATTTGGAAACCAATCCATTGACACCTCCACACCAGTTGGGATATCCTTACCATCGAAAAGGTCTTGATACATGGAGTAATTATCAGTCTCCTCCTCCATTTCAAAGTCATATTGTTCGGAATAGTTTTCGTCGTCTTCATAGATCAAAGTATCTGGGTCTAACAAACTATTTGATATTGGAGATGATCCAGGGTAATCATAATCATCACCCTACAATAGTATTTAAAAGTGACCTTATAGTTGTGATAGCATAAGTAGACTCATTAAAAGAAAAGGAAAATTCAAACACCTACCGAAACAAACTCATCATCTTGCTCATCGTAAGAAACGGAATCAAAATCAATAGCCTTCCCTTTATTCTTGTTATCAACATTGTTGCCATTAAGAACACCACCGTTTTGCATTTCATATTCCTCCACATCAATCACTTCTGGAGTTTCAGCCTACAAGATCATGATCCCACCCGCAATCCAGAGTAAGATAAAACATAATATCCCATTGAAACTAACTATGTATAAAATTGAAAACGCAAACGGAGAAGAAGAAAACGAATTGTTATCACAAAGAAACCAAAGGCATAACATTCATAGACTTGATATCACATTACATAACAAAAACAAGTCTATAACAACTTAAACAGATACAGAACACCAACAGTCAGTTACAGTTTCAAGTGATCAGGAACATGAAACGTCAGAACAGTCTCCTTCAAAACCAATCCAACAACAAAGAGAAACCCACAAATAAAAAACAAACATAATGCACGTGAGAACCCTAATAATCAAGCACACATAAGCAAAATCAACGATGACTCACTAAAACCCTTAAATCAACAAAGCCCTCAAACCCAGATTGATGATCGCACAATCCCCCAAATCAATTAGGTAAATCAGTGAATTTTGGGATACAGTTAAACAGAATTACCCTCTAGAGATTAAAATCCGATCAAATTCAATTCAATTCGGTAAAAGTATTAACCTTTGCTCTCGAGCAAGAAGCGACCGGAGGAGCGATCTCCACTACGTTGGTCTCCATTGAACGATCCCAAACGCAAAGAACTGAAAACGGAAAACGAGAGAATTTTCCTCAAAACTTAGACAAGAAGACGAAGAAGAAGAAGAAATCGATCAAAGAAAAAGTTTTGGGTGTATAACCTTGGCGCCGTATTAATATACCAACACAACAACAAGAGTGAGATTGCGCAAAGGGCCTCTCTCTCTCTCTCTCTCTTTCTCTCTATTTAATCCTAATCCCATCTTAAATTAAAGACCTAAATTAATAACCTTTTTTAAGTGATGATTAATGAAATTTTCCTATTTGTGCGTTTTTATTCAACAAGTCAATACGGAAGGTCTACGCAGATGGGCCCCATTTTTACATTTGACGGTTCAGATCGTATTTTATATTGGAAACTAATATCAACGGTGTTGATGTAGGTACTAGCGTAGTCTGCTGCTGTAGAGGATATAAAACCGAGCTTAAGCAACACGGTTAGGTGACTTCGACCAAGGCTATGATTTTAGATCCGTAAGATTTGAGAAAAACAAGTTTTTGGGTAAATCTAACGGTTGGGAACTCTTTTCTGGATTTCGTTTTTTTTTTCTAGTAACAGAACAATCATAGCAAATCTAATGAGAAGATATAATTGAGTTAATCTTAAGAAAAAAGTTATAAAGTATACAATGATTTTGATTTTTTCTTTAAAATAAGTACGATGAATCTGACTACTATTATTACTTAATTATTTTATTTTAAATAAAATGATCACTAAATGATCATTAATTTATAGTGCTATTAATAGATGAAGTTTGTTTAGATGTTAAAATAAAGATAAAGTTTAATATTACTACATTAAGTAATAAAAATGTATTAATTTAATATAAAAAGTTATATTAGTGTGACATATGTCGTTTATTAAAAAGGATGATTTTATATTTTTGTTTGAAAAGATATTTTAAGAAAGATAAAAATGAGCTTTTACTTAAGCAAAAGAAAAAAAAAAGAGAGAGATATTATCCATGCTGGTCTCATTTCGGGCCTATATACATTATTTTTACTATTGATAAAATAAAACTAGTAAGGAACAACAGCTACTGATGATGCCCATTTCTGAAAGCCCATAACATAAGAAATAATGGAAGATGAAGTGAAAAGAAGAAAACAAACAAACAAACAAACAATGGAACTTTTCTTTAGATCGAAAAATAAACATGAGATAGTCATCAGTCATCACAGGCTTTGTAATCTACTGTAGTTGAGAATTATGAAGTTGTTTGTTTTATTAAGGCACTAATTTCTAAAACACATGCTCTACTAGTTTTCAAACTAGAGAACCAAATTAATTAAAAATAAAATAAAAAATTGCTTGCCCAATGAATAAAAGTTGAAAGAGACAGAAAGCCATCTTTTTTGGTCTTTGCAAGTTAGTGGACAGATTTTTATTCACATAACGACAAGCATTTCTTTGCTCATTCTTTCGTGAATGGAAAAATGATGTTTATGAAAGAAATGTTCAAGGAAATTGATATTCAGAATTCAGACAATGTACAAAAGTACAGTGCGCAATTGAGTTACTTTTGTACTTTTCTTACTTTTACACTGTATATTTGTTTATGTTTTCTTTAAAGGGAAAAATGTCATTTAATCGTCCAACTTTCAAAAATGGCTATTTTATACATGAACTTCATTTGCAAGGGAAAAAGTTGTTGTCATTACTAATATAACTGAAATGGTAAATTGAAGATTACAAACACAAAGGATATTCACAATTTCGCAGTTCAAATCCGGAAAACTATTACTAGTATTGCCATAATAAAATTGTAAGGGTAATCTAATTGCGAATTTAAAAAAAAAAAACACAGATAATGGTTTTATATATGTTGTTTACAATCTTTCTTCAATACGATTATGATATTAATCTTTTTAAGAAACAAAACTAGTCATGCATCAGAGAAAGTATGAATTTACACTATTTTCTAATTCTGATATAGAATTGGGCTATATTGCTAGTTTTCCAATAAAATATTTTTATTCTGATTTTCTAAGTTAAAATATTGTATTTGAACTTAGAGTAGATAAATTGACTTATATTCCTCTAATGATTGTATTTGAATTTGATACTATTGGGAAAAGATATAGAGCACTACATTCAAATAATATCCTTTTGGAATCTTTGAGTAATCATGAATTTTGCAAAGTTAAAATTACGCCGAATATCCAAAACTCCTAAGTAAGGAGTATATATTTAAAATTAATCTATTATAAAAAAAACAAAGATCTTGTTCAAAACTTTAAATCTCCACCCACCCTAAGTTCACGAATACGTCACAATTTTGTGTTTGAGGAAACGACTTTAAATTGTCACCTATGACTTGAGCACGCTTCGATTTAAATATTTTCAACTAGATCATTTAATTAAAAAAAAAATGATCTCAGTTAATTAACTATATTCCAATGTTCCAAATCTGTTTAAAAAGAGTTGTAATGGATTACTAAAAATAAAGGGAGGAATAACGAATATAATGGGAAAAAAAGAGTGAAATGGACACGAGAGGTTGGCAACGAAAGGCTTTTCTCTCCGTAACCCAAAAAAGATTCGGTTGTCACATAATTTGCAGAGATTCTCCACTCTCTATCCTTCTATAAATTACAGAGCCATCGGATCACAAAACAGAACAACAACAACAACAACAAACAAGAACTCAAACACTAAAACAAACCTTCAATCTTTTTTCAAAAAGTCAATCATGTCAAGCAACTGCGGAAGCTGCGACTGTGCTGACAAGACCCAGTGCGTGTAAGTGTCCTCTGTTTCCGTTTCACGAAAAATCTTGTTTCTGATTCGTTTTGTAATCGATTTTGTTGAGCCAACAGCAGAGTGAAACCTCTCTGTTTTTGGATCTTGATGCTTGATCTATGTCTGAAACTATAATCTTTATCTTTTATTGCTCTTATGTTGCTCTAGATCTTGACTGACATATGCTTTTTTCACTCTGTGACTGTAGGAAGAAGGGAACCAGCTACACCTTCGACATCGTCAAGACTCAGGAGAGGTAATAATAGATGATTGTGATGATGATGATACAACGAGATCATAATGATGCAACAATTGATTTTGTTTTGCAGCTACAAGGAAGCCATGATCATGGACGTTGGTGCAGAGGAGAACGACGCGAATTGCAAGTGCAAGTGTGGCTCAACCTGCAGCTGCGTCAACTGCACTTGCTGCCCCAACTAAAAATGCTTCTTTAATCAAAATGTAATATGAATAAAAGTTGATGTGAGTTCATCTATTGAGCTCATATCTCTCTTATGACTCTCTAGTATGGTGTGATGTAATGGGTTATGACCCTTTCTTTATCCTCCAATCCAATCCATCATATTTCTATTAGTAACATCTTCTTTCCCTTCCATATAAAACTAAAGAACTTGCAAGATAATTGAAAAGATGGTTTCTTTTTATTTTCAATCACAACAAAATGCGATTTTGTATCCAAATGCATACATAATCTCATGAAGAATTAATCTCCTGTTTTTATACCCTAAACCCATCCCGGGTGATGAACAATCTATGTTGCTCATTCCTTTTGATCCACCATCAAATTACGTATTAAGAAGAGAAAAAAAAAAAGTATCAGACATTGAAACCTTCTGCTCGGAGACACATTTTATGAGCCTCGATCCATTTAGTGCAAGCCGATTCACCATGCTCGACAATGCACTCATCTCTCAGCTTCTTCGTATCAGGGCAAGCACAACATATCCTCTTCTTTGGTTTCGTCTCTGCCGAGGCAGCAGCCTTGCTTGGCTCTGAAGTGGGTGAAGGAATCAAGCCGTTTTGTGCTGTTTGATCACTCATCCTGTAGACAAAAGGAAAAAGAACACGGTCAAAAATATGAACATGACAATGAAGAAATGGCATAAACATAACATAAGTAATATCGCCTAGATTCTCCTTCACATCCTATTTGGTATTCACAAGAAAACTCTTCTCATTCATCTGTTCAAGAAGCGCTCTTAAAGATCAATTATCAAGTCCTTAAACCTTGGGAAGTGCTCATTATCAAACACAAACAACGATCGAAATTATAAACTTGGTTCTCAAAAACCAAGCTCAATAAGAGCTAACAAAGGTATAAAATTCCATGACAACCTTCTACTTGGTAAGAAATCAAGAACAAGGACTGCATAAATCTTCACCACAAAGAATTTTACTGAGAACTTCTGATCACGAATTAGTGGGTTATTAAATTCTAGATTTTTCAATCGATTTCCAAAAATGCGCATAAACCCATCAGAAAATTTGATGATTTTAATTGAATACTCTAGACACGACGACGCTGATAAGCAAATCTGATAAACCCTAAGAAACATACGAGAGTTAAAACCCTGAAGTTCAAAAACCCTGATCCTCAAAACCCCTGAACCTTAAGTTACGAAATCTCATCCATAAGATAACAACAACACCAAACTCATAAACCAATTGTTTAACGAGCAATCAAGCAAGCTAAATCTGCGAAAAATGTTTCATCTTTCCTTTGCAGCATCTTACAATTCTTGATACAAAATTTCTCAGAGAGAGGAAAAGGAGAAACCTTTTAATGGATTTTACAGAGGAAGAATCAAAGAGCAGAGAACCGGTGAAAATGTCGGCGACGGTATGAAAGGAAAGATGAAGACCACTTGGCTTCAGGCTTGAACAAGGAGGCGAATTCAAAGTAAAGAAGCCACCAAATACGAATTTTTTTTTATTCGAATGTTCCAGTTAACAAATTCTGATTGGGCCCTTGTGATAGGTCTATCTATAATGGGCTAGGCCCTTAATACAACAAATACACCAACAATTTCGCAGTGAAGAAGAAAAATATTTTGTTTGCTATCAGACTAACAACAAGAACCAGAGTCCTTGAGGTAGATTTGGAGAATGATACTAATACGAGATTGCAATTCAACATCTCTCACACAGAGTAAATTTTCCGGTTGGTATTGATGTAGAGGACACGGTAAGGAAGATGAAACATATATTGTTGTTAGCACTTCCAAAGAGATTTTACTCATCTGAAGAAAGTTAACTTTTTGTCAACTATAACAGACACAGAGACTCAGGGTAAAGGCTGGAACAAAAGAAAGCTACAATTTTTGCTAGGCAGAGGAGAGACATTAGAGAATGGAAGTTTGTGATTCTCAATTTAACTTCTTCCTCTCATTACACAGAACCATCCCATTTTTAGAAGATGAACTTATTCTCTCTTATTGGAAACTGCTCTAGTTTGGTCATCTCCATCTTTGCTTCTAGATTCTACAACATTGGATGTGATTTAGTCACTTGCAGAAAAAAAAATAACAAAGTGTCACAAATGAGAATTTCACCCAACAGAGTATTTACACAGATTTACAAAACAAGTTTCAAGAATGTGCTCGCTGATGAAACCAAGACTTGATGTTTTCACAGTTGAAAAAAAAAAAAAAACAAATTCATTGACAATTCCTATATTTCATTGACATTTGATCTTCTGAATCTATAAAAAACCGACAATAGTTTAGTCTAAGATTTCACTTTCCCCAAGCTCTACTGGTTCTCGTGATCTCCAATTTCTAACAAAGCACATCATCTTTTGCATAGCCCACACAAGTTTAAGAAAAAAAAAACAAAACATCAATCAATCATACTTCTCTCTCCATGTATAAACGAGGAAGAAAATCCATGAGACAGCTAAAGCAATGTCTCCAAGAGCTTGCTTGGGACATTCAAAAGCAAGATCTTCAATCTTCCACTCAAATATAACTCTCCATAAAGCCATAAGCATATAGAGAATCACAGAACCAGCGGCAAAGAAGCTATGAAACTCTCTGTCTTTCACAAACGACACCATGAAAAGTACCAATCCGATAGCAAAGAGAAGCAAACCAGAGAATGACTGAGAAATCTGAATAAGCTGCTCGTCGTGAGGTGTTGATCCTTTGAGCTTGTTTGCTATATCACTACCATGTCCAAAGATCGAAGCTTTCTCTGTGTAGAACATCATCAGGGTTCCACTTGTAAGTGCGATAATCGAATGGAGCATACAGATTACACGGAAGAGATGTGAATTCATCGGACCTTGTTGATTCCAATAGAAAGAATCTGCCTTTTTTTGCTGGGGTTTCGCAAAATCACCTGAAAATATCGAGAAGAGGTCAAAAACAGATGGAACCAAAAAAAAACGCAAATTATTATTCAAAGTTTCAGACTTTTCAAAGATAGAGAGATGTTAAAGCTTCAAAATTTCAAACCTGAGGAAGCTGTGATGTTACGGTTTTGAATAGAGAGATTATATGATTTAGGGATTTTGAATTCCACAAGAGCCTGAGGAAGCTGTGATGTTACGGTTTTGAATAGAGAGATTATATGATTTAGGGATTTTGAATTCCACAAGAGAACTTCTGGGAATTGTTTATGGATAAACCCTAGTTTTTGTCTTGTTGCAAAAGAAGATTTTTAACTTGATCTCGGTCCTCTTTTGGCAGCTTCTCCTCTTTCTTCAACAGAAATTCAAACCCACCGTATAAAGATTGCTTTCCGATTATAAGTGGGAGAGATTATAAACTAATTTATAGTTGACACAAATAATTTCAATACAAAAAAAAATTAGGATATTTATACCAATAATGTCATCTGTTATGAAAACTTTTTTTTTTTTTTTGTGCACCTTCTGTTGGGAAAACTTATCCATGACTTTTTGGTAAAACATGAAAAATATTAATTAGTGGAAAGCAATCATCAAAAGTCACAAGGAAAGATTGTGCTTTTAAATTAATGAAATTTCGTTTTCATAAAATAGAACACCAATATCCTTATGTGAAACCAACATTGTTTCTACTTCTTCTATTTAGTTTAGTTATCCTTTAAAGCCACCAACGATCTGATAACGCCTGGAGAAGTACTATCAGCAAGAGCCCCGAGTTCCGATATAAACAGAGCTTTCTCCTTCACTAAGCTCTGCAATTTCTTCGATTCAAACTCCATTTTCTCTTCATCTACACACAGTAACAAGTAGGCAATTTTCTCATGAGGAAACTGCATTAGTCTTTAAGAGAGTAGCAAAAAACTGTGAACAAGATGAAACCTTTCTCTAGCATTGTATGCACAGCATGAAACGGAATTGCAGCAAAAAGATCAGCTCCTGGGAGCATCATCCAATTCGGTTCACTAGAATCATGGGATCCACATGTGGAGCAAACTTCTTGGACCAAAGGTTTCGTTGAGCTCACATGTATATCTTTCATCATAGAATCGAATGGAGACAGAACACTAGTCTTTGTTGTCCGAGCTCTCTTCCTAAGTGCTGTAAGAGCCTCTCGGTTTGCATTCCTCTCCTTGTCATTCTCCACCATCTATTGCACATATTACAAGCTCCATTTGGTTAAAAAACCTTATTGACCTAACAATATATCATATAAAATCTGATTTCTCAGAAGAGAAAATAAGTTGCAGAACAACAATAGATAGAAATAGCTTGTGAATTCCAAAGGAAGTTATTCTGCTTTCCACAATCACGTATAAATTAGGAAGTAGGGAATATTTCCAACTAGATAGATACTACCAAACAAATTCCCGAGTACCTGATTTCGAGCTAATAGAAACTCATCAGCTTCAGCTTCAATTTTGTCCAATAGTGCAGCAAACTTCTTTGGATCCAACTCCATCTCTAACCTAACAGATTCCAACAAACAAATAGGCACAGAACCATGCTTATTAAATAAAGCATTCTTGTGTAAAGAGGAAAAAGGAAAAGATTTGATTAGTGGCACAGTCAAATCTTCCTAATCCTGTAAATCTCCATGTTAACCTACTTCTTTATGCACAAATTAAAGCATAACGAAGCCAGAAAAAAAGGAGAAGCTATGGATACTTTGTTTGCTTAAGCTCAATTTCAAAGACGACCCACAAGCCACTCCATGTTATTGTTGTATGTAGTATGTACCAACATCATCCTAAACCTCTTACTATCGTTTCAACTTCTATTCTAAAGAGTGATTATATTTTTCAATTTGGATGAGATAATTGATTCATCCAATTATTGATTTCATCCAATTTCGAAGAAACGATTACAGAAATTAACAATTCTGATAAGCCCTAAAAGGTTAAATCCCTGAATTCCAAAACCCTAAACCCTAATTCACGAAATCTCGTTCCTAAGATGGAATAGCGAAGGCAACCACACCAACACAAGTGTAAAACGATTCTCTAGTTCATTTTTGCAGCATCTTAACAAGAGAGCGATACAAAGTAACTCAGAAGAAGGATAAACAAATCACTAACCTTTGAATGGATTTAAAGACAAAGATTCAAAAAGCAGAGGACCGGTGAGAATCTCGGTGACGCAATGAGAGGGACGAAACCTTTTTTTTTTTTTTTTGTGTGCAACTGAGAGGGACGAAGTAAACAAACAAGTCAAAAAAAATTAAATTGAGTTGAGTTATGGGCTAAGTATTTGGGCTATCAATGGCCCGGCCCACTCTTCACACCATTTTATTTGCGATCGTTCCCCGCCGCCGTCATCCACCGTCGTAAAACAAGAAAATGTAAATTTATTTATTTGGTCGTTAAAACTACCTATTTATTGATTGGACGTGATAAAATCGTAAAACAGAGTGAATTTTTTGCATCCACGTAATGGAAACGAGTTCATGATATCAACTAAACTTGATATGAAAATTCGCAACGTTTCGTAGAGAAAGGGGACAAGAAACGGGTTGGCTGATTTTATAGCCATAAACTAGTTGTATTCTCAGCTTTTTCCCCCAACCTTTTCGCTCCAGCTAATTCCACCATTAATTTAGATAATTCTCGCAATTTCAACATGTACTTTCGGATTCATCCTTAAAACTACGTCTCCAATTGAACCGGCCAATAAACCGGTACCACATAACTCGGTTTGATTTAATTCAAATTTAACCAAATTTTGACTTAATCTTCTTCTTCTTCACCCGATTTTGACCAGAATTTTTTTTCTTTAATGACGGCAGACCCGACTTTCAACGACGACGTTTTGGGTCTCATCGACGGCAGATCTGAAGACTACGATCCCTGCAACTGGGTCGGTTGCACATGCGACCCTGCCTCCAACTGGGTCTCGAAGCTCCGACTTGACGCCTTCTCTCTCTCCGGTCACATCGGCCGTGGCCTTCTCCGTCTCCAGTTCCTCCACACCTTGGTCCTCTCCAACAACAACCTCACCAGAACCCTAAACCCCGAGTTCCCTCACCTCGGCAGCCTCCAAGTCGGCGATTTCAGCGGCAATAGTCTCTCGGGTCGGATCCCAGACGGGTTCTTCGAGCAATGCGGGTCCTTGAGGTCCGTCTCCTTGGCCAACAACAAACTCACGGGTCCTCTTCCTGTCTCCCTCAGCTACTGTCAGAGAAGATGAACTAGGACTACGAGGAAGCGGAGGAGCTAGCAAAGGAGGAGGGTGGTGACGGTGATGAGGTTGATACTCAATTGCGGCGGTTGTGGATGAAGATGGAAGAAGAGACGGTGGTGGAACAGAGGAGAAATCGTCAGGTTCACGGCGGTGGAAGTTACGGTGACAACCACAAGCTGCACACTTGAGAGAAGTTGGATCGGAAGGTGTTGAAGAAGGAGACGGCATGAATTCTCCGCAACCGTCAAGCGCGTGACCACCAATCGCCGCCGAAGAAGAATAAGATTCGGTTGGGTTGGCTGATTTTATAAAATTTTGGTAAAATCGGGTTTAAATTTGGTTAAATTTGAATTAAATCAAACCGGGTTATATGGTACCGGTTTAATGACCGGTTCAATTGGAGGCGTAGTTTTAAGGATGAATCCGAAAGTACATGTTGAAATTGCGAGAATTATCTAAGTTAATGGTGGAATTAGCTAGAACAAAAAAACTGGGGGAAAAGCTGAGAATGCAACTAGTTTATGCCTATAAAATCAGCCAACCCACAAGAAACACATAATATAATCAACCAATTATTACTCGAATCAATTATAAGATTTTTTCGCAAGGATAAGATTTGTTCATTGAAAGACATCTGCGTGGGTCCATTTTTCACTGCTAAGGCCCTTTTTGTGGCGTCTCCAACGTGTCCACTTGGCTTAGTTTATTTGACCATTTTTCGAATCATAGATTTGAATATTCAAACTCGATGGCTTACGCTGTCCCTTATATAAACACATCATCAGACTCCAAATTTTTTCATCACCAATCTTCTCCACACTTCAATAACAAACAACAACAAAAGAAACACAATGCAGATTCACAAACTCTGTTTTCTTGCTCTGTTCTTAGCTAACGCAGTTTTTGCCGTCAAATTTAACTTCAATTCTTTCGATGGCAACAACTTGTTATTCCTAGGAGACGCTGAGCTTGGTCCTTCCTCTGATGGCGTTGAGCGATCCGGAGCTTTATCCATGACCCGAGACGGAACCCCATTCTCTCACGGTCAAGGTCTTTACATCAATCCAATCCAATTCAAATCTTCAAACACTTCTACTCCTTTTTCATTTAAAACTTCCTTCACTTTCTCCATCACTCCTCGCACCAAACCTAATTCTGGTCAAGGCCTTGCCTTCATCATTGTCCCAGCCGCTGATAACTCCGGCGCTTCGGGCGGCGGATATCTCGGAATCCTCAACAAAACCAACGATGGAAAGCCAGAAAACAACCTCATATTTATCGAACTGGACACTTTTCAAAACAAAGAGTCTAATGACATTAGTGGTAACCATGTCGGAATCAACATCAACTCGATGACTTCTCTTGTCGCTGAGAAAGCTGGTTATTGGGTTCAGACATTAGTCGGGAAAAGGAAAGTTTGGTCGTTTAAAGATGTGAATCTTAGCAGTGGAGAGAGGTTCAAGGTTTGGATCGAGTTCAGAAGCAAAGACTCTAGGAATACCATAACGATCGCGCCTGAAAACGTTAAGAAACCGAAGAGGCCTTTGATCCAAGGTTCGAGAGTACTCGATGATGTTCTTCTTCAAAACATGTACGCTGGTTTTGCTGGTTCCATGGGACGTGCCGGTGAGCGTCACGACATTTGGAGCTGGTCGTTCGAAAACTAACGAAACCGGTTTGGTTCGGTTTTGGCTAGGTATCGTTTGCTTTGTTTTTGTAATTTTGTACTACTAGAGTGAATAATTAACGTTTTAAATAAAATAAGCTAAACATGTGTGGCTTACTCTGCATTGCATTTTCATATTTGTGTATTCAGTCTGAATAATTCAGAGATTTTTCAATAAAATAAACTTTCTTTCCAAACATGTATTTTATAACTGTAGCAAGCTCCAAATCAAACATTAGTAGCTTAGCTCTAGACGTCGTCTAATTATTTTATTTGTCATAGATACATGATTCTATCGATTAAAGATGACAAAAGAAGCAGAACAAATTCTTGCATGTAATTTAACCTTGTACCAAAAAAAAAAAAAAAAAAAAAATTCTTGCATGCACGCAATGAAAACGGTTTATATTAAATAAACGGAGAATAATTGAGTTATGTTATTCACGGAATAAAATATGGTTTCCCATGCAAAAGATTATAAACGTGGAATGTCTTAGATTTATACACGAAATATGAATTAAAAAAGTTCCATTAAGATAGGGGACACGAATTACATAATGGAATCAATTATTAGTCGAATTTTATAATAAAGAAGATTTATTTTTCTTTCTGTTTTTGTATTTCCCAATCGGATAGATAAACCCCTCATTCAATAAAAACAGTAGGTCCATTTTGTTGGAGACTCTCTATAAATTTTATATATTAGTTATTTTTAGTGTAAATTTGATTGAATTTGAAGAAATATTTGGTTAAATTTAGTGTTTGACCCCTATAAATTTTTGTTCTAACTTTCAAATGACCCCTTTGATTCATATAATTTTTCAATTTATTGTTCATGATCATATAATTTTTGTATTAGTTTGACCCTTATAAAACTTGTTTCTAAATCCGCCACTGTAGTGGCGTCTGTAACGCACCCACTTGGCGTTATTGTGTTGACGATTCGAATGAATAGAATCTTTTTGCCGTTTAAAAATTCAAACTCGATTGTGTTACTATTACATGCCAATTCAAAACTCTGTTTTTAGCTCTGTTCTTCTTTCATACCAATTCTTCTCTCAAATTCAACTTCGAAACCAATGATGCCTCGATATTCTTAACAAAACCAACAATGGCATTCCCAAAAGCCACATCCTAGCTGTCAAATTCGATCGCCTGACTGCAAGACAAATGTTTTGGAGACATTCACGATAACCATGTCGTCGGTGTAGACATTAACTATGTTACTCTCTGAAGTTTTTTCTTGAAAACTGGTTTGCTGGTGTCATGGCACATTTGAGTCGAGAAACAGCGCCAAGAACAGCTAAACCGGATTGGACCGGTTTAATTAGTGGTAACCGGAGCCAAATCTTTTTTTTTTTAGTTTAAAATAAAAATAGTTCAAATCTGTTAGTTGGCTTTAGAGCACTACATTCTTTGAACTTTAGAGATTCACTCCTTTTAAAAGAATCTGGTATTTATTTTTGTTTCAAAAGAAACTCAATTATGTGTGCAATTATATACCCAGAAATAGTTGCTGTTCTGATGGGAAGAAAGAAAGGACCCTGAAAGGCTGAAACAAAAAAAGATTTGACCCCCAATGTTTGTCTAAATTTATACATTTGGCCCAAAAAAAGGTTATTCCTTTTACGTGCAGTGATTTGTGAGGTCGTAGATTAACCACGTTGCTTGCGTGTAAAGAGAGTGTGGGTGATTATCAAAATTGGAAAAAAAAACCTGAACTGAGAGATATATTATATAAATATAGTATTAAACAACGATTTCGACAGTGAATCGTTTCTTTCAGCAGTCGTTTTTTGTTTTTATTCTACAAAGCCGATAATTTATGAGGCTGAGAGAGAGAGGCTTCTTCTGCTTTTTTTTTTCCGAGTTAAAAACTGTGTTTGGTGTTGTTTGTTGTGTGTGGCTCTGTTTCAATCTCGTAAAGATTATTTCTGGGTGGCCTCTCTTAGATACTTCTTATCTACTCCTTCTCACTAAGTTTTGCGGTAAAGAAGCTTCCTTCCTTTTTTTGGCTGTTTACATGATCAAAGGTTTGCATTTTTTCTTGAATATTTTTCATCTTTTTGAGTGTTGTTCTCAAATGGGTCTCCTAAGTTCTTGAGTTTTCTTCTGTTTATAGCCTAGGGTTTGTTTCTTGAGTGGGATCAGTGGAAAAGGTTGAGAGTTTAAGTTCTTGGCGAATGCGTGACTTGTGATTAACGATCTTGAGCAATGAGCTGTTGAATCCGAAATGATTCAAGTTAGAGTTGGGAATCCAGAGAAGTCATTGGTTCCTTGTTGGTTTCTGGTTAGCTTTTGGTGGATGTTAAATGGAAGGTTCTTCAAATTCTAACTCTAGGGGATTCAATACCTCTGGTCTTTCAGACAGGAACACTGAGTTCTTACCTGTTGAGAGAATCACAGCTCGTTCGAAGCCTTCCTCTCATGTTGATGAGTATGTCAGAAGCTTGTTTGGTAGTACTAGTACACACAAGTCCGGTGAAGATGATTCTTTAGGGATTGACCCTTTTGTTAGCTCCTTGGAATGGGGTGATGTTAGTTTGAGACAGTGGCTGGATAAACCTGAACGATCTGTTGATGTTTTGGAGTGCTTGCACGTTTTCAGACAAATTGTTGAGATTGTGAATGCTGCTCACTCTCAAGGCATTGTTGTTCATAATGTCAGGCCATCTTGTTTTGTCATGTCTTCGTTTAACCATGTTTCGTTCATTGAGTCCGCTTCTTGTTCGGACTCTGGCTCTGATTCCTTGGAGGATGGTCCAATTAGCCAGAAGGAAATCGGTAGCTCGAGAAGAGAGGAAACTGTGTCGAAAGCTATTGCAAAAGAAGAGAAAGGAGTCTACAATAAGTTTCTGGAGAGACGAATCGAGAAACTTGAGGAAGAAAAGAATCAACCTTTTCCGATGAAACATATATTAGCAATGGAGACAAGTTGGTATACAAGCCCTGAAGAGGATTTTGGTTCTTCAAGTACTTGTGCTTCAGATGTTTACCGCCTTGGCGTTCTTCTTTTCGAGGTTTGTGATAAAGAAACAAACATTGCTTCTAACAAATTAGTAACTGCTTTTTGGATTCAAAGTTTCTGTTTTTGTTTTTGTTTCTTGTGTTTATTTTCTTGAAAAGGTGATTAGATGAAAGTTAGTCCCTTTGCAGCTATTTTGCCCTGTCCCTTCAAGAGAAGAGAAATCAAGAACTATGTCTAGTTTAAGACATCGCGTTCTTCCGCCTCAGATATTGCTCAAATGTCCAAAAGAAGCTTCTTTCTGCTTGTGGTTACTGCATCCTGAGCCAAGTTGTCGACCATCAATGAGGTTTACTGTCTTTTACTTCATGTTCTTAGTTTGAGCATTGTTAGTCTCTGTCATCTTTCACTACATGGAACTAATAGAGAAGTTGTCTTTAATGGTGCAGTGACTTGCTGCAAAGCGAGTTTATAACTGAACCAAGAGATAATTTGGAAGAACGTGAAGCTGCAATCGAGCTTAGGGACAGAATCGAGGAACAGGAGTCGTTACTCGAGTTCTTGTTACTGATACAACAGAGAAAGCAGGAATCTGCTTATAGATTGCGTGATACGGTTGCACTTCTTTCTTCTGACATTGAGCAAGTTGTAAAGAGACAATTAATTTTGAAGAAAAAGGGAAGCTCACTCTCTGATTTCAGTAAAGATGATCATCAATATCCCTCTGGTCAGCCATTGATAAGCTTCCAGGCAAACGAGGAGCCATCAGCATTCTTGGCCTCAAGAAAACGATTTAGACAAGGGATCTCGGCATTGGAAGACGATGTTGAAGTTGATGAAGAGAGTCAAGGAAGCACACTTCTTGAAAGCTCCCGGTTGATGAGAAACTTCAAGAAACTAGAATCGGTCTACTTTCTGACAAGGCGCAGGCAAATGAAGGCTGCTGCTTCAGGGAAATCATTAACTAGACATTCGCCGTTAAGTAGTGAAAACGGAAGAGGTTCAATGATTGTCTCAGAGAAAAGCTCAGTCAGCAACCCGGCCGTACCCAAAGATTTCTACAATCATGATTTGAGACAAGGGGGGTGGATAGATCCATTCCTTGAGGGTTTGTGCAGATATTTATCATTCAGTCAGCTAAGAGTGAAAGCAGATTTGAAACAAGGAGATTTGTTGAACTCTTCGAACCTCGTTTGCGCCCTTGCTTTTGACCGGGATGGAGAATTTTTCGCCACTGCGGGTGTCAACAAGAAAATCAAGATATTCGAATGTAACTCCATCGTAAACAATAACCGGGATATTCACTATCCAGTTGTGGAACTGGCTGGTCGGTCAAAGCTAAGTAGTTTATGTTGGAACAGCTATATAAAGAGCCAAATTGCATCAAGTAACTTTGATGGCGTGGTTCAGGTTAGTTTTAGATTCCGCTCTAATGATATTAAAAACTTCCAGTTTCATAAAACCAATTGGGGATACATTTGATTTCTTTTCCAGATATGGGATGTTGCGAGATGCCAGCTGGTTACAGAGATGAAGGAGCACAGGAAGCGAGTATGGTCCATCGATATTTCATCAGCAGACCCGACTTTGCTGGCTAGCGGAAGCGATGATGGAACCGTTAAACTTTGGAGTATCAATCAGGCAATTCTAATTTGAAATGTCGGCTATTGAAAACTGAAACTGATTTCTCCAATAATGCAAACATCTTCATTCTCAGGATGTATGATTAAGAGTTTTTTTTTTCTTGAAAATGTTTTCAGGGAGTTAGCATTGGGACCATTAAGACAAAGGCCAATGTATGCTGTGTCCAGTTTCCATCAGACTCAGGACGGTCTCTAGCGTTTGGTTCTGCAGATCACAAAGTGTATTACTACGATCTTCGAAACCCCAAGATTCCTCTTTGCACAATGATTGGTCATAGCAAGACAGTGAGTTATGTCAAGTTTGTAGATTCATCCACTCTCGTGTCCTCTTCTACTGATAACACACTGAAGCTTTGGGACTTGTCGATGTCTGCTTCTGGGATTAATGAAACCCCTCTTCACTCATTCACTGGACACACTAATTTAAAGGTACCATTTATTTTGAAATCCGCTTTCTAGACTCTCTTCCATCTCCGGTTTCTGAGATGTTATGTTCTTGTGATGTTTTGCAGAACTTTGTTGGCTTATCGGTCTCTGATGGGTATATAGCAACAGGCTCAGAGACTAACGAGGTAAAGGCCTGATACAGAAAGAATAAATAACTTTCTGTGACAGAGTATCACCTAAAAACTTGATTGTCTGAGCTTCTTTTTGTTGTGGATCCATTACAGGTTTTCGTGTACCACAAGGCATTCCCAATGCCAGTGATGTCGTACATGTTCAACAACACTGACTCTGTGTCTGGTCTCGAAGTGGACGATGCCTCACAGTTCATATCTTCTATCTGCTGGCGAGGACAGTCGTCTACGTTAGTCGCTGCTAACTCCAATGGCAACATCAAAATTCTGGAGATGATGGCTTGAGCCTCTCATAAATCTCTTGTTCTTCTTCTCCGCAAGAGATCTGCTCTGCTGGAGTGATTGATATAGGGTAAACCATTTTTACCAAAAAAGATAGGAGAGTGGAAACAATGTGTATAGAATTTCTTTTGAAAAAAAAAAAGAGAGGATACAAATATTGGATCTTTGTATTTGTATATTCTGTTATAATTGAAAACACCTCAAAAAAAAAAAGGGTTATAATTTTTATTTGATTTGAAATTTGAAGGAGATGACTTCAAACAAGAAAAAATTAATCCCAGTAGGTCGTGGCATACAAGGCATCTCTACTCAATGAAAACAAAGTCTAATAGTTTTTCTAAAGCCTGCAACTGCAAGATCCTCTATATGTTGTATATTTATATATATCATAAGGAGTAAGTACAGTCTCTCCATGAATTCGATTCAAAGCCCCAAAATGATTCCTTTTTTTCTTCGAATTCGATCTATTTACACTGACTAACTCCTGTAATAGCTTCGTTGACTAACCTGTTCACAAGTCCCTGAAGCCTCTGAGCTCCAACGCTAGGATTAATCTTAGCCACATCACCGACCTTGGAGCATTTTGGTTTCCCACTGCACCATCCACCAGGAGTAAAACTATCTTTACCATTCCTCCGTCTAAGTAATTCCTTATCGATAAGATCAAGTACTCTGTCGTCTCTTCTGAATTTCCTAGCAAACGCAGCACCACTTGATATCATCTGCATTGTGTCGTTGAGTGACAACACGTGTGGGTGCTGCTGCGGCGGATTGTCCCAGGAAATGTAGTGGAGGTCATGGTTTACGGCAGTTTTTGCAAACTCGGGTACATTGCAAATCACTGTCTGGAAGTAACCTTCGGGTGATGAAACGAAGTTGGTGTAATACATTAGGAGGGTTCGTGGTAAATTGTCCCATCCCCATATGCAATACTCTACAAATGGGCGTGATAGAGCCATCCAAGCTGATCCTGTGACAACAACAACAACGAAAAATATTTAAGCTTTGGTGGGCGACAAAGCGGCAATACCTAAAGGTTCAACTTTGATGAGCAAAAAACAAAGAAAGGTTTCAAGCTTTGATGCAGGAGAAGAGTTGTGATCTTATAGATACCGAGAACAATGTTTCAAGATTTGATTAGTGAGAAGAAATTTTGATCCAATGGAGCTTCATATGCAGTTTAGAGAAATTAGAGGACTGACCAGTGAATAACTTGAAGGCAGTTGGCAAACTTCGGCGAGGTGTGACCCAGTAAATATCTGATTTGTTCAACAAGTAGAGTCCAGGATCAATCATTAATGGCTGTGCTCGCTTCTCCCTTCACAAGGAAACAACAAATCAGTCCACTAGAACATAAGATTCAACCATATAGGAAACTCAAGAACGCGGATATGCTCACTCTTTCCAACCCAGCTGACTTGTGTGTTCGATAAAGTTTAGGTTCCGGTCCAATGTCGAAAACGTATGAAGCAGATCTTCAAAACACAGAGATTATTGACAGTAAGTTAATCTAAGACAGGACTAAAATCTTGATGAATACTGAGAAAGAAAGTGAGATCAAAGCTTTTTATACCATCTTGGGTCACTAGAGGATAATCTGAAGCACTGAGGTTAATAAACCAATCCCAGTTTGCGCTTCTCTTAAGAAGAACCGCGCAAGCGTGAAGAGTATTTGCCACCATAGTTGGTCCTTTATATGTCACAAGGTTAGCCTTGGTTATCATATATACGTTCCCGGTTTCAGAATACATAGGATCGTTATTAATCCGAGAAGCCAGCTCTAATCTCTCATCCACCGGTGATTCAAGATCCAAGTGAACAACATACTGGTTCCTGGGATGGTACACTGCTCTAAGTGTTCTCCAAAGCTTTTCTACATCCCCTTTAGACCCGGAAACAAGGTATGCAAAATGGGGAAGCTTGTCTTCATGAGGCGAAACACGGGTTTGTCTAGCAACTTTAGACTCTGCAAAATCAAGTCTTGTTTGGTTCTTGACGAGACGGGAAGGGATGATGGAGAAAATCCCGTTGATTGTTCGGAGCGAAGAGACTAGGCCCATATTGAAAGACGTTGCAAGGAGAAAAACGCAGACAAGAGATGTGATGACAAGAGGAAAAACCCATCTCTTCTCCACGTTTACATATCCCATTGCTGAAAGCTAGTGATCATGAGACAAGAAGAAACAAACTTCTTAAAGAAAATCGGTTTCTTGCCGAATCAAATCCCCGGTTTAGCAAACTACAGAATCTGATATGTGAGCTGATTCACAGCCCTTTTGGAAACTTGGAGCTAAAAGCCTGAATCTTTCAGGAATCCGCAACAATCTTGAGTTTAGGCTCGTTCCAAACACAAAAACCTATCAGCAAACACAAATGTTAGAACTCTAGTAAAGTTTTCAGAACCAAATATAGAAAGAAGAAGCAACTAAAACACCCAGCCGACACATATAAGTTCCCAGATTCTCACGCAACATCAAGCTCAAAGCTTAAGAATTACGAAACAGTATATTAAGATAAATTCAATCAAGAACGACAAGGCTCACCTCTCCATAAAAACCTCTTGGATCGAGATTCATCATCAATCAGACATCTCAGCAGCTAGATTAAGCAACTCTAAAACCCCCTAAAAAGTTACATTACCGATTTCCTAAGGAACATTAAAAGAAACCCTTGTCGTAGATTATCCCCAAGATCAATTTACTACAACACCAACAGAATCTCGAAGCTGCGATTTAGATCTAGTGCACTGTAGAACATACTTTACTCATCCTAACAATAACAAAAACTAAATCTACAGATTTAAAAAAAGAGATCCAGAAACAAACCTGAAGGATGGTAGATTAAAAAGATGAAGAAACCTGGCTTTTTTGTTGTTGTTGCCTTGATGCTGTATAATCTCGAGGCAATGAAGCTTTTTTTATTGGCTTTGTTATATGCTAGTACTTCGTGCTCAAGAACACGGGACACTTCTGTTTCCGAGTAAAAGTTATATAGACGACATGAAGAGACAGTGAAATTCAATCCAATAACAACATTACGATTTTTAATCTAGGAAAATTAAGCTGGAAAATTCCAAGACCGTGTGAGATACTCCGATTCGTGGAAAAATTATACTACAACAAAGAAAAATTCCAAATCTTTGGTTCTTTCACCTCTAAATTTCGTTACTTTTTATTGTCTCTCTGTTCCTTTATTTCTGGAATCTATAACGATTTTTAATTAGTAAGTTTTCAATCCCATTATTTAAGTGTTAAAAAGAAACCGTTTGGCTGACACGTTTTCAGAGATTCAAGATACTGGGGTACCTTCAAGTATTTATTACCTACATTATATTTATGTCAAGACCTGTACGAGTGAAAAAATCGAATGGCTGAAACTTAATCAAAACCAGATCCAATGGATGAAATTGAAGAATATATGTGGACGTGCATGTACCTGATTAGTAGCTCTTGGCCTTATTCGAACAAAACATATCTATTGCGTAGTCATTGGGCTAGTATAGTAACCGACACGTATGGTAATAATGTTGATAGCAACATAAACTGATAAACATACCTTTTTATTACACTTACTATAATTAATTACACTTCCTAAAAAGATGCTCTCTTCTGACGAATTTATGGTAATGTATCTATATTTCACTCGAATCTGTTAAAAAAAAAATTTGTACTGCTAAACAGAAGTTTTTTTTTTTTTACCAATAGAAGACAATATAGTCATAGTCATGGAAATTCGTATTATTTGTAATAATTATTATACAAGAATCGTTGCTTTTCTATCATTTTAAGTGAGGTCCACAGCAGGAGTCTCGAGAAATTTTTGGTTTCATACACATGAGTAGCTTCAATATTATTGGCATTCGAATACGACTTTATAATCGAAAAGTGTATGTTGCGCTAATTACGTGTTGTCGTGTTGACAATTAACTATTTGCCAACAAGCGCGTGGAGTGGTCACGAATTCGATCACTGTTGAGATTTGATGGGCTTTCAATGACTCTGGCTAAACTTTGTTCTATCACGAGATATGTCACTGTTGAGCCTTGATGGGCTTTAACAGTGTGTTTTTGACGTGGACTGAGGCCCAACAAACTAGACTTTCAATCCCTTTCCTTTTTAAAAAGACAGTGTGGCGGGACAATTAGATGTATACATGCTTAAATGTTACTCTCTCTGTTCCATGAAGTTTGATGTTGTGGATTTTGCACACAAATTAAGAAAAAATAATTTTTATATTTTTTATTACTATTTTATTTGTTTAATATTATTAATTCTACTTCTCTCCTCTCTCTATTGGTCAGACATAAAAAGTAATAATAAAATTGATACAAAAAATCAATGTTTGTGGAACAAAAAAGAAACCCACAACATCAATCTTTATGGAACAGAGGGAGTAGGTAATATATGTATATACAAAAGAGAAATGTGTCCTTTCTATAAGAAAACTGTTTATACTATAATTTCTTTTTAATGAAAATCGGTTTTGTCCGACTCTCATAAATTACCTCGCATTCAGATAACGGTTTTTTCCAAGTTGTTAATTCGAATATGTCAATTATACTATTTTGGAGTTATAGTTTCTATTTAGTTTTATATGTCGTGATGTCAGCGGACAACAAACCATCTACCTAACAAGATACATAGATACGGTTTTGTCTGACTTTCATAAATTAACTTCAGATAACAGTTTTTCAGGTGGTTAATTCAAATATGTCAATTATACTATTTTGGAGTTATACTTTCTATTTAATTTTATATGTCGTGATGTCAGCGGACAACAAATCATCTACCTAACAAGATACATAGATACGGTTTTGTCCGAGTCTCATAAATTAGCTCGCATTCAAATAACGGTTTTTTCCAGGTGGTTAATTCGAATATATGTCAATTATACCATTTTGGAGTTCTAGTTTCTATTTAATTTTATATGTCTTGATGTCGGCGGACAATAAACCATATACCTGACAAAATACATAGATACGGTTTTGTCCGACTCTCATAAATTAACTTGCATTCAGATAACGGTTTTTTTCATGTGGTTAATTCGAATATGTCGTTACTTATAAATTTATTTTAAACTAGATGTTTTTTTTTGTCAACATCATTATATTACTTGAACGACTCAAACAGATGTTTCTTTTTTTATCATCAAAACATTCCAAATATACTATAATAAATACGGAAAATTTCATAATTCCGCATTTTCTTTCCAACATAAAATTTTTAATATAAAATAATTTATGTGATCTAGTATTTATTTTATTTTAGTTCAAATAGCCGATGTTTTCATATTCACTTGTTCGATTACATTAGAAAAAACTTTCATATGTATAACTTTGTATCGTTCGTCCAAATTTTGGAGATATCGTGATAAATATTGGTGTGAATTTGACAGATAGTCAAGTAATTTAAAAAATCCATATCTATTATGAAAGCTATCTAAAATGTTTTGTGATTATACTCTACAATTCTTATTAAAAGAAAACACAGTTATTCGAGAATTTGACAGCTTTTAATTGAATGAGCAATAAGACTAGGTGACATATTTAGATAATTTTTGTTATTGTCCGAGCAAAACTTTCTTTTCTTTTTTTTGGTAGGAGTTGCAAAACTTTCTTACGTAACGTATATAATTTTTTAAATTTTTTTCTCGTAACGTATATAATCGTCCACTAAGAAATAGTGTAACCGATAATTAAAGCCATAATTAAATGCCAGAACTCTTTTTGTTTTGGGGTAGTTAGGGAGATTAGTTCTTAATGTAAAGTCTAAACATACTAGTAAATTACTGTAATTGACAACTCTTTTGGCAATTAATACAGCAACGAAAAATTGAATTTTGCTCTGTAACCCCTTAAAAAAAACTTCAAAGATTATAAACCAGCTTATTGTTTAATTATAAGTATTTGAAAACACATGTGATATATAAATTTAACATAACGACAACACTAATACAATTACTAGAATATAAATCTTCGTCAACGCATACTAATTTTGGTATACGACAAAATTTAATATATTGATCGATTAAAATTTGTTTTAAAAATGGATTTTAGAAAACAATATGGGTAAATAAATCTAAATATGTTAGTGAGTTAGACATTTTTTTACGACAGGGATTGGGGATTCTCATCTCTTGTCCTTCCTACTACGTCTGTGCTATGGCTTTTTATCGAAGGACTGGCTAGTCTGAATTTCACATGTATATAGAGAAGCTAACCGTCTCGCGGATGGGTTAGCAAACTATGCATTTTCGTTGCCCTTAGGTTTTCATTCGTTTTCTTCTGTACCCCCGTGTTTGGATGAGCTTACACGGGATGATGTTTTTGGGCCACCGAGGCCGAGACAAGTTATTTTGTAATTTTTTTTCTATTTTTTAATAATAATATCCGGGAGTTAAATTCCCGGTGATTCACCAAAAAAAAAGTTAAACATTTTTTTCAGAACGATCTCAAATTATGTCAAGTAATTTGAGATGAAAGAAATAAGGTTTATCTAGACAAAAAAATTAAACTCTCATTTTTTTCTTGCCAAAATCTTCTATATTGTTATTATCACATATGAATTCATGCAATAAAAAGAGGATTTTATAAATTAACTAGTCAAATGAGTCAACAGTCAACTTATATGAACAAGAGTTGACTTTGAATATCCTAAGCCTAGGGACACAGATTTTTTTTCCTTATTGTCATTAAACATTATGGACTTGCACTTTCACGGTCAAAAAACAAGTTATGTTTTGTAACTGTAAAATTGTAATAATAATAACTAGTTGTTTTTTTTTGTCAATTAGCTTAACGCAAAAATTAAAGTATTTTGCCAAAACTAGAATAATGAAAAATTAAAGAATATGAAAAGGTCCACAACTTTTTAAAAAACGTATAGCAAAATTTGGATGGAAAGAAAGAAACAAAAAAAAGAGAAAGAGATTAAATATAAGAAAATCTATGTTACCTTAATATGATTTTAGGATGAACAAGAAAATCTTTTTTTAAAGGCTTGAAGATATAGATTTGAAGAATTAGCCAAAAGAAAAATCTCTCTCCATTGAATTGATAGAGAGAAAGAAGAACAGGGTGTCTCTCTCTCTTTCTTAACATAGATTAGACCACCCTAAAGACTCGATTTTTTTCTCTCTTTAGATTTCATTTTTTTCCCAGTAATCAAATTAAAATTTGCCTCTTTCAGTCCAAAACCCTGAGATTTTTGGGAGAATCTCTGTGACACTCATTTCTTTCTAGGTAAATTCCCAATTACTTTTTCGGTTAAAGCTTAAAAGGTGGAATTCTTTTTGAAAGTCTTAAATCTTGTTCCTTGATTCTACAGTTTTTCTTTAGAAAAAATCTCAAGCTGAAAAATGATCTTTTGGCTTTTGATTTAAAGAACATATCTTGGTTGTTGATTGGGTTACAACATCCTTTGTTCTTTTTTTTTTATTTCTGATTCTCGTATGTTCTAAATTCCTAAAATGTTCTTTATTTTATTTTTGGTAGGACATATCTTTTTAAGTCTCTGTCTTGATCACAGTTTCATTTCGACAATGTCGCTGTTCTTACAGTGATTTTTCTTGTTCTTGTTTTTGTTTTAAGGGAAAGAATCCAAAATGGGTTCGGAGATTATACTCTGTGATGGCTTCGAGGTGGTTCCTCCGCCGATAAACGATTTGATACTCTTCGGAAGAGGCCAATCTGTATCAAGTTGCGATGTATCAACGATCACTACCGAAGAAGACGGCACTGTTTTTTCCGGTGATAGTTCGCCGGGAGGTGCAGCTGAAGAGGATTGGCCTGAAGATAAATCTTTATCGTTTTACTTTGTTAAGCAACCAGCTTACGATGATCCCGAGATCCAAGCCAAGATCGATGAAGCTGGTCATGAGATTAAGCACTGTAATCAACTCCGTATTGGTGTCTCCAGTGCTCAGAAATCCGAAAAGGTGACTCTGTTTTTTCTTTAATCCCCTTTTTTGTTTTGTGTGATGTTTTTTTTTTTTTTTTTTTATGTTGATTTTGAGTTTGGGTTTTGTTGTAGGCTGAGATTTCGTCTTTGTTTTCACATATGGTGAGTTTGACTCCTAAATCAGAAGGATATAGAGTGGTTTTTGAAGAGAAGAAGAGGGAATTTGATACTCTACAAGAAGCTCTACGGAATCTCCGGTGCTCTACTAGTGATCAACTTTGTTTTCCAAAGGAGGAACTCGATCATCTTGTAAGGACAAACAGTGTATCTAACCATTTGATCATTTCGTTATACAGCAAAATTTGGTTTTTTTTTTCTTTGTTTCTGATTGTAGAAGTGTTTTGGTGTGGTGGATGCAGATGTATATAGCTCATTATCAGATTGAACATGGTAGCATTGGTTTGGAGGAAGAAGATTGGGTGCTTAAAGAGACCGAGAAGCCTGATGGGATAGTTCTAAGTGAGGATTCTCTTGTGGAGAAAGAAGCTTCCATAAACCGTGTCAAGGTAAACCCTAATCAAAGCTTTAACTCTTTGGGGGATTTGCTAAAAACATTGTTGAATCTAATGTTGTGATGGTTTTTTGCCTTGTCATCAGTCTAAGGCCGTGGAATTGTATCAAGTAAAGAAGGAGCACGATGCGATTACATGGAAGATAAACCTCTTGGCTGAAAAAATGGGGAAGAGTCGGAACAAGATCAAGATTTTGGATGTAGAACTGGCACACATACTTGAGAAGAGGGACAGATCCTATGAAAGGATTAGGATGTTGAGGATACAACGAGACAAAGGGGTACAACATTTGTCTTTATGTTACTTTTGCCTGTGGATGATCTCAAAGATTTTAATAACATTGGGTATTGCATATTTTTCTTTGTGTAGAATGCCGCCTTTTTCGAGAGCCTTCCTGTTATGAGGAAAGCTAAAGAATTGGCTGCTTCTGGAAATGTTCGAGATCTTGAAGTGTTTGCCAACTCTGAGGTTTGTTTGTGTGTTTGGTCTAATTGAATGATTGATTGATTAGGTATCTATTTCTGAGAATTGAGCATTTGTTCTTGATTCTGTCTTTTTATAGGTTGAAAGATTCATGACTCATTGGAATGATGACAAGGCTTTTAGGGATGATTACGTAAAAAGAATCTCGCTTTCACTCTGTGAAAGACAGCTGAACCAAGATGGCCGGATTAAAGATCCTGAAGTTCAGGTTGTTGGGGAAAAGCAAGTACCGGTTAAGACTATGAAGGGAGGCGAGAAGGTTCACAAGACGAATAGAGAAGATTCCAGCTCCAACTCGTCTCAAGATGGAAGTGTAATTATAGATAAACCAACACAAGAGACGAGGAAAAAGGCGATGGATTTCAACAGGTCAAGTGCTGAGGAGAGTGATGTTATAGATTTGGAATTCTCGGTGTATGAGAAACCAAAGAAGGAAGAAGAAGAGGTCGATGAAGAAACTTTGAAGGAAAGTAAAAGAGAAGAGCAGTTAGAGAAAGCTCGGTTAGCGATGGAGAGGAAGAAGAAGCTGCAAGAGAAAGCTGCTGCTAAAGCTGCTATAAGAGCTCAAAAGGAAGCTGAAAAGAAACTCAAGGCATTCTTGTTTCCATTTTTTCAATGTATCATTTACTCTTCCATTTCATTTGTCTGTTTCTTAATTCTTTGTTTTGTTTTCAGGAGTGTGAGAAAAAGGCGAAGAAGAAAGCTGCAAATTCTTCTTCTCCTTCAGAATCAGACCAATCACAAGAAGTTATCAATGAGCTGGAAAAGGGTAGGACTTTAGCTGTTTCAGTGAAAGAGAAACACCAAAAGGAGAGATCATTGTTTCCAAAGCAGAGAAGTTTCAGGTACAAACACCGCGGAAGAGGAACCGAAGCTCTCCCTAAGGCAATCCTAAACCGTAGAAGGGCTCAAAAATATTGGGTTTGGGGACTTTCATCTGCTGCACTTGCTGTCGCACTCTTCCTTGTGGTTTTACTTCTACGGTAAACTGGGAAAGGAAAGAGACATTAAAAAGGTTTTGACTCTGCCTAATTGGAGATGGAGCAAGTGAAGGAAGAGCTGCTTCTGGACTTTCAAAGTTAGCTTTTAGTTTCATAACCTTAGATGTTAGTTAATATGTATCTGTCTCTTTGGAGAGTTGTCTTAAAAAAAAAAAAAAAAAAAAGAGAAACATCCTAATTGTTAGTAGGAGCTTCTGAAAGTCCATAGAGACTTCATGTTGTCTTTATGTGAACATTGTGGATTAAATCCACTTTATAGTTAGTCAAGTATCTTGACTAACTATATACTTAGAAATTGCAAATAACATAAAGCTTCTTCCATCTTTTCTCTCTCGTTACATATTTCAGAAGCTAAATCTAGTTTCTACAAGATGGTATCAACAAAATCCATACTTATTGGAAAACAAATTCCAAGATTTAACATCCATGTGGTTTAAGGGGACCCTTTATCAAGTACCTAACGTCCTTGATATCCAACTGTTCTTCAAGTCCACAGGTAAAGAATCCATTATGAACTTCCTTGAGGAATTTGAGAAGTTTCACCAATGCTCTTTTGGTTCTACTCTCGTCAGTCTTCCTCTCTGCGTACGATAGTCTTGACCTCATGATGTTTCTGTGATCGTTTTTGAAATAGAAGTAGCTTGTGATCTCCAACAAGTTTCGCTCAAGGAAATGGGATGTTTTTTTTTAAAGAACTTTTGATTAAGGATATTGGGTAGTGTAAGTTGAAAGTCAGTTCTTGTTAAAAATTATGATATTATTATCCACAATCACGATTCCACGCTCATCAGCTAAGACAAGATCAAGTGTTTTTAAGTCAGGACTCTCTTTTCTGGTTATTATTCGATCCCCGAAATAGATTTTGTTTGGATCAAGCATCCTCACAACAGCTTTAGCGTAAGTCGAACCTCCCCTTGTGTAAGCAGTCATTGTAAAAAGCTTGTTGGCTTCTTTAAGGAACTCTTCAACAAAAGGTCGAAACTTAACTAATCTATCGTTATATTTTCGCAGATCTTTCCTTGAACCTGATTTCTCTTCTTTGATTAGATACTTCTCTGCGTTGGAAAGATTTAAAGTCTTCATGGAGTGGATTAGCGTGTGGTCCAAGTCAAGGACTAATAAGTGAAGCTTCTTGTGTCCGTAGACTGAGACTAGGGTTGTGAGTTGCTTTGTAAAGGATACAGCTTCGTGGCTTAGGCGTAAACCGGAGAAAAGATAATCGAATGCTCGACCTTCGACGTAGCTGACCTTCGTTTTACAGGTGAAGCAGATTCCGTGACGAACGAACAAATGACTACAATTACTACTAGAAGAAGATGATGAACGAGTCATCATCTCTGGATCGATCTTCTTAGTTCTCTTGTCAAAAAAAAAGGAAAGACGAACGTTTCTATGAATCAATGGTTTTCGATACTTGAGAAAGATTGATTACAAAACAAAGGGAAACTCAAATCTCGTATAACTGATTATTAATTGGCACCAAAACCCTATTCGAGAAATCGAGAAAATTAAAATCAGTATTTATTGGGATGATAAGAGGAAGGTTATGAAAAAAAAGGGAATCGAGAATAGGAAATCCCAATATATTTATTTAACAACATTGGTAGAGAAACCCTCACATTTCTCAAAAAATATTTTTAAAACCCTAAATTTATGTAAAGGTTTTTAATTACTCACTTTACAAATGACAATACATATATAAAATCGGACGATCACTTTTTGTTAAAACTTAAAACAAACGACAATAGTAATTATTTCTTCATTGCTTTTACTATATCCTGCAAACAATGGGAACAAATAGATAAACTCACGTATTTCTTCATCTACAATCTCTTTAAACTTCATAGTAACCTGAAGAGTGAAAGAAATTCTTATACATAATTTACGGGAAGCAAACCCTTCCAAACAAGTTTATATGGGAACAATATATAAAGTCCAAAGAAGTAAACCTTTTTCAAAAACAAAAAAAATAAAAAATAAAATCCATAGCTAAAAGAAGAGATTGAGTCTTGGGTCTACAAGTCAGGAATGAAGGAAAACTCTCACATCTCTCTTATAAATATCGTTTTCACTATAGTGATGATTAAAGAAGTCTTGGTGAATTTTGAAGAGGAATCTCAGAGCATTCGCTAATGCTCCATCATCTACACTCTCGTCTTTTCTCTCTTCCGAGTAAGAGTTTGAATCCGAGAGTAGATTGTCGTCATCTCTTGAAAATATCTTCAGAAAATACTTGAAAAGATTCTGGAACATGCCACCATCGATGCTGTTCCTCTTTTTCGTTGCTTTGAAATATGAGTAAGTTGTGATCTGCAGCAAGTTTGATCTGTTTTCAGGTGACCAAACGTCATATCTATCATCGAGGATAATCACCTCACGTTCTCCGACCAAGACTTGATCAAGTGTCTTCTCCCATATGACGTGTTTGCTAAGACTAATGATACGATTCCCAAAATAGAGTTGATGCGGATCAAGCAACTTGAGTACAAAATCAGCATACTCGGGAATACAAAGAGTGGTGACATGTAATATAAACAACTTATTAGCTTCACGCAAGAATTCGTGAACAAATGGACGCAACTTTATCAAAACATCGTGACCACGGATTCTGGTTTGCCACAGATCATTCCTCGAATTGACTTTTCCCTTAAGATACTTCTCCTTGTTAGAAAGACATGGAAAAGCTTGAGAGTCGAAAAATGTACCGTACAAATTGAGAACCAAGTGGAGCTTCTTCTTCTCTAAAGAGTTTTTGGAAACATGGCTCTTCAGAGAACCAACAAATTCATGGCTCAAGGATAAGCCATTGGCGAGATTATTGAAATGTTGAAAGTCATCATTAGGTTGAGTCACACTCGATCTGCATTCACGGCAAATTCCTTCAACGATAATACGATGATTGCAAGACATTCCTTTTTAAAACCCTAATTGTTATCTTGTAGAACCCTAATTTTGGGATATCTCTTGGAGCTAATAAAGGAACCATGGATATTAAAAAATCATGTATTTAGCTTGCCGAAAATTTTGGATAAATCTTATCTTTTTCTTTTTTTGTAACAACTTTAATTATATGAATAAGGTAAGACAATTTAATTACTAGTTAGAGTCAGATTTGGTGAACCGACCCAAGGTTCTTAGATTTTCACTCTTGGACCGGAATCATTAAAAGTGAACTGATTTGCTACTGATTAAACCAACCTGAATTTGAAATGTTCAGCAAGTGCTAAGTTTCGGAATTCTCAAAAGATCAAAGAGATATTCAAGCCAGAAGAGATTAATGGAGACAAAAGTCTGAAATCAAGTTGTCTGAAATTTAAGGAAAGCTTTAAGGGGTTGTTGTATTCATCATTATATGGGTGAGGGATGTAACAAAAGTCTCACGTCTTTACATTGGCCATGAAAGAATCTTTGGTGAATTGTCTTGAGGGAGTTGAGTGCATCCACCAGCACTCCATCATCATCATCTTCTTCTTCTTTTTCATTTCTCTTCTCCTCTGAAGAAGACTTGTTGAAGAAGTTGATGAATTTCGTGATAAATCCTTGTTGATACTCCATTCCTTTGAAATAATCATAACTCTTAATCAGAAGCAAGTTTCTCTCATCATCCTTCTCCCACGTCTCAGACTTGCAATCAAGAATCACAACCCCTCTTTCTTCCGCCAAGACAAACTCAAGACTCTTCTTCTTCCTCTTCTCTTCAGCGATTGTAATGAACCGACTTGGGAAGAATATTTTCAGCGGATCAAGCAACTTAATAAAACTGCGGGCTTGCTTGGGGTCCGATTTGGTGTATGCATAGATGGTAAAGAGCTCGTTTGCTTCACGGAGGAATTCCCGAGCGAAAGGTCGTAACTTTACCAAAACACCATTTGAGTCTAGAAGCACGTGTTGCAAGTCAACAACCAAGTGAAGCTTCCTCTGTCCGTACCCGATTCCAAACCTCTGCCGTTTCATGTAAGCTATGTATTTGTAGCTGAAATGCTGACCTTGGGATATGTAATTGAAAAACTCTCCATTGCTTTCGTCCACCTTACGACAGCACCTGCTACAGTATCCACGGTAAGACATTGAATGATCACAATTGGGATCTTTGATCCTAGTGCAATTCTTTAGTCGACCCTTATACCAGTCCACGGCAGATTTGCATTCACAACAGAACCCGTTATGGACAATCCAATGAACACAACAAGGACAAGGAGGAGGAACAGACATGGTGAACTCAAAACCCTAATAACCCCTAGCTAATTCGACTTCTACTTTTTATACTTCGCTGAGCAGCGTTGTGTTATCCTCAGGCCTGGCCCATAGGATAAATTGGGCCTATGTCATATTAAGCTCAGGTTTTAAGCTTCATTTGTTGGACTCCGTTTTCAATTTCATTATCCGGAATAAGAAACTACTGTATATTATATTGTGAATAATAATAATGGTTATGTTATAAGATATGCTCACCAATCACCATTTTGAGATTCCTCCATCTCACGTACAAGGGTTTTGCTATCTTTTGGGAGCAACAGATGCAGCTGTGTTTTTATAATCCTTCTATGAACTATATATTGATTTGTGGTGCTACAACTTTTTTGTTTATGGCTATGGGGAAAAGCAACAGGAGAGACAACGTATGGAGGAAGATGACTGGTCTTGTCAAAGCAGGACTGCAATACCATAGACCAAGACAGTAAATCAAAACTGAAATAATATGTCGATCCAGATAAAAGCAGAAGAAAAATAAAACTTACTGCAAGAGATAAAACGCAGAAGAAGGTTTCACAACTGCAATGCAACAGGTTCACCAGATTCTTAGAGACTAAAAACCTTTTTCGCCCTAACCAACGATAATAAATTTGTGATGAATTTTAGCAAGGTCAGTTCTATATAAAGAGAAGTGAATCCTGCCTGCATCTCAGAAGCAGAAGCATCAAACAGGTATCCTAAAGGGATTTCAATCAATTATTCTCTGGTTTGTTAAAGAATTAGATAGTGTCTGCAGATAGTAATTCAATCAATCATTCTCTAGTTTCTCTAAGAATTAGCTAGCTCATTACCAAATAACTATAGAAGTAAAAGGAGAGTCAAAACTTCTTCATCAACTAGAAGCTGAACAGAGCAAAAGTATACATCAATCGTGCACTCAATCAATCAGTACCTATAACAGATCAAAATCCTACCATATCAGAACTCCCCTCATATACACATATCAAAAAAGTCCCATTATATACACCAACAACATATCAAAAATCCCATTGCTACTTGGGGTTGTTGGTAGTAACCATAGGAGCTGCTGGTTCGTCATCATCAGATGAACCATCCAATTTACAGAAAGAGAAGCGCCTAAGTTGTTTTCTGGCTGTCTTTGACCATATGAAAGACATGAGAATAGTCATTCCAGCAAGTGTGGCTAACGCACCAATCAGTTTTAACCACCATCTATCGCTTGGCACAATTAACCAACTTCCGGAAACAAAGGCCACAGCGAATGCTATCAATCCAACCCACATGAAGGTATGGCAAAGCTTCAATGTGTTTCTCTGCACTTTCTGGCTTCGTGGTGTGACACCGCAAAGCAGACCAAGAGTTATTATGCAAACAGGAACCATGGTGTAAACCGCAAGCATGAAGATGAAGAAAGCTATCTCCTTTCCTAAGACTGCCTTTCCATCATTGTTAAGCCCTCCTGGTGGATTTAACCCTGTAGTACATCCTACTGTGGCCAGAAAGATCACCACCAAAGCAACGATATTTCTTGCACTTAAAAGGGCTTCTTTATAAACTGCATCAGTCTGCATTTGTTGATCTGTTTTGCAGAGATCTTCTCTATTTTGACCAGTCAAAGAGGCTATGTCAATAATTTGTTCTCCAGTCCTGCCTCTTATCGCTGCCGCATTACTCGCTTCTCCTATTTCACAACGATTACCCACTTCGATTCTTTCTCCATCATCAGCCACAACAATTTGTTTACCTTTCCGACGACGTTCAATCTCAGCCTTTTCCAACGAATTTTTCGCCTACAAGTCCATCAAATTCAATCCTTAAAGATTCAAATTCAATCCCTGAAGATTCAAGCTCATGACTCATCGTCTTACCGTGAAATTGAATCGGTAAGGATACGCTAGTTGATGAAGACTCGTACAACGTGCTGGTTTCAGAGAGTCTCGCCTAATTTTCACCTAAGTTTTTCCAAGAAAATGTCGAAACTTTCTGAGAAAATAACAGAAATTTGAGAAATTGATGACAGAATCCAAAACTTACTGCCATTTGTGCGTCTTCCCAAGACGCGGAGAAGAAGCGCGTGCGGTTCTTGGGACTCTGACGGAGTCGTCGTTCTCGAGAAGACGACGCCTGGTGAAAGAAAGAAAGAGAGAGCGCGAGTTTCAAGAATTTAAACTGATTTCTTTATTAAGCTCTTGGAATAGAAATGTTAATCCGAAAAAAACTATAAATTGAATGATTTAATTATGGTTGCACAAGTAAAAAAATACAGTCAACGCTCTTTTTTTTTTGGGAGTCAACAACACAGGCGAAGTTTTCCAAACTAATACTGTAATTGTTAAAAAGTTATTATTGTTAAAAAGTCGGGAGTAATAATTATTGTTTCAAATTTAAACAACCTTCTAAGTATGTATACAGTGTTAAGTAAAAAAAAAAAATCAACTTTCCATCTCAGAAGTCGGAACATGTAATATTGGGTTAAAAACTAAAAATCATGATCGAATTATCCAGATATTATTATCTTATCATTAAAAAAATGCTAATAAAGTGTTTTCCAAGTCTAGACTAAGATTGAAGAACAACTGAACAAAAGATCTTTGATATGATCCACACGATGAGACCTTCTAAGTTCTAACTAAGAGCTGTTTCTTAGTTTTATTTGATGTTTTGATTTAATTTTAATTGCTTTTAGTTTAAGAACTCTCATTAAGAGCCACCGTTGAAGGTGGTCTAATGCATCTGGATGCTCTGATCTGCTCTGCTATGCGGTTCTATCTTCTCGTTGCTCTCATGCGTTTTCGTTTAGTGCATATACTGGATAAAAGCTATTTCATGTTCCCTGATGAATTAGAATTTATATGATTCTTGTTTATTTTTAGGGGGAAATACTAACTTTTATTACAGATTTGTTACTAATAAAACCAAACAAATATATGATTAAGTTTTTTTTATAATAAGATTTGGATATTCGGAATACGGATAATTTTTACTTTATATACAGTGGATTACTTTCGTCTTGTTAATGGTATAACTTTTGAGTTAAAATTCGTCACACCATAGTTGGTTAGTTTCAGTAAGAAATAAATATTACGTAAAGAAGAATTTCAGCTAATCTTTAAAATAATAATGAGCTACTACTAGTAAACCAAAAAAAAATAAGTTATATAATTGTTTTGCAAATCAAGGAAATTAACAACAAGATTGAATCATATACGTATTATTACGTACTCCGACGACTTAACGCTTGTGTGTTACAAACTACATACTCCCTCCGTATTTGAATAAATGTCGTTCTAGCCTTTTTTCTGTGTTTTTAATTAGTTGTCATTTTAACAACTTTTGCATAAAATTTCCTAAATTACCCCCAATTAATTGATCATAATTAATCAGTCTAAATTACCAAAACTACATATACCAAAAATATAATTGTAAATAATCGTTTCTCATAAGGTTAGTTTTGTAATTCTGTGCCCTTTCTTAATTCACCCAAAAACAGTTGAAACGACATTTTTTCAAATACAGAGGGAGTATAACATTTACATGGAATCATTGCATAGATCATATATCTACTAATCAGGGGACAGGAAATAATTTATGATAACTTATGCATATAACGCTTTCTCATGATAACTTATGCATATATATATAAATCTTGTATACGTTGATTTCTCTACTATAAGTTTCTTACGTAATACACTACTCTTAAAAATTGCCCCCCTTAACCGTCCAACTTTTTCATTTTAAAAATCAAGCGTACCCACAATATCCATACTCACATTTAATCCCGGATTTACACTTTTTGTTGCATTTACCACAATGCTTGGGGTTAAAGCCAACATAGGTGCAGATGCCTCCGCAACACCGTTGTCCGAATCTGCATTTGTGACCGCACCGTCCACAATTATTCATGTCTCCTAAGATATTCCGACAATGCTTCTTGCAACAGTACAACAAACTCGTCCCCTTGTCCGCCTTTACCCCGTCGCAAATGTTGTAACCTGCGACATGACATCTCATCCCTTTTCTGATCTTTTTGTAGTGGGAAACTAGCAGCCGGGTTTTGGATGATATTGTTAGATTTGAATGTATTGTAGGAGTTTCATCAAGAATGTAGAACTCTGGGTCTTCTTTGGTAACTTCTTCGGCTAAAACCGAATGAGTATTCACCGTTGCGATAATAAGACTATAGAGGATTAAGGAGATGAGGGGCATGAGTTTAATGAACGTACAAGGGATCTTAATGACCATTTTGCTAAAGTAAAGAGTTGATTAATTAGACAAAGAAAGTTTGGCTTTGGAACACAAAATAAGCAAAGGAAGAGTGGAGCATAAGGGAAGATGTCATGTGTATATATATTGCCGTAAGAAGACTCATAAATTCTAGATTTGAAATATAATTTGTAAACTAAACTATATGTTTAGTATTAATTCTTTAAATTCCTACCAAAAAAAAAGTATTAATTCCTTAAAATTAGGCAAAAGCAAGTGATTGATGTCTAATTGTAACGGAAGGGAAAAAAGGGGATCAACTGCAATACCTTAACTTACAAGTCTCTTTCACCTATTATCATTTTATCATTTCATCTTTTTTTAGTTGTCATATTGTGCAAAATTTTACTTTAATTTTCTTTGTTACACGTTTTCTTATCAGCTGTTTCTGTTAAAATTAATCATTTGTTGCGTTTGCTACTCTCTTTTGTAGATGAATTACAATTTTTTTTATTATGTTTTAATATACCAATAGTTTCGAAGATTAATCTGATGTTTTTCAGAGATTCCTCTATCTAGAAAGAAATAATAAGCATATTTTTGTTTGGCAAAACTTGCCAATTAGTTTAGGAAACTGTCTTTAGTCTTCTGATTGAAGCATAGGCGGTCTAAATTATCGCAGTACTTTCGCATTAAATGTATTCGTTAACCAATAGTGTCCACTGCTTTTCTTGAGATAGAATAAATTGTGGGGAAATAATTTGGTCACGAAATCAACTCCACCCTCATACTAAAACCAAAAGATCACATTTTGTTCCAAGTTAGTATTTTATATATTTCTTCTGTCGCCTAGACAATTTAGGACAGTTTACTGTTATTCTGAGAACTTGAGAAGTCATGCAGTTCATGAGTTGTTTCAAACCAATTAAAACCTATGCAAACCTTGCACGTGTGTGGGCGGTGGCTGTGCCACGAAACTCGGTAAGAGTCACATGTCCGTCACGCTTACTTGCAAAACTCGACTAAGACACTCTAATGGTTTCCCTCCAAGTGTCGTTTCCTTCTCACTTCAAGTGTTTGTGACAATCGCATCGCCACCACACAAACTCATTACTTTACTTGGATCTTCCCGTTGACTAGTAACCAACGTTTACCGTTGACCTCTGAGGAGCCTGCGGAAATTCGGTTGAGCGTATACAACTTTTCATTATTATAAAAAAAAAAAAAGAAAAAAAAAAATCTGTTCATTGATCTAAGACTATTAAATTACGCACATGACATCTTATAAGCCTATATAGTCTACTGCTATAGCTTCATGTCTCTGAAAGGTCAAGATATTCACACAAGAGAGGGTTATGGGTTCCGAAGATATCCGCATGGGCCATATCGGCCCAAACTGACCCGGAAACAATGTATTCCATAAGACATAAGCTCGTACGTAACTAATTTAATGTTTGAGTAGATGCAAGATCGTTGGGAATCAAGGCAGCTCGTGGGGAAAAGTCGACTGTGAATTAGGGATTTTAACACGTTCTCGTTTGGCTTCTTTGTTTCATTACATTAATTAATCTTTTTCCTTGTGGAAAAATAAATCACTTTTATCGTTTGTTTTGTGTTCGCTGTACAGCGGGAAAAGGTTGGTGGTTGACACATGTGTTGGGATCCATTTTTTTCGCACTGAACGATGGCAAACTTATCATCATCAAACATCTATCATAAAAGAGGATCAGAAAAAAAAAAAAAAAAAAAAAAAAAAAAAAAAGAAAAGATCAGAATCATTTATATCGATAGGCAAACTCTTCTATCATTCTTTTGAGGCAGAATTTAGGTAGAACGGGAACATTTGGTTTGAATGAAGATATATAATTTAACCTAACTTGAAAATATATTGAAGTTTTACAGAATCTAACTACTTAATGATTATGACAAGAAAGCCTCTGTTAGCCACTAATATAAGCATCGTTAGCTTACCTTAAAAAGTTTAATTTTTTTTATTTATTTTTTCAGTAATGGTGGGTGAATGGTTATTTTATAGTTAAATCATATAAATGTAGTACGAATATATTCTTAAGCACATTACTAACCAAAAAAAAAAGTAAAAAGACAGAAAGTGGGAAACCAACTATGGGTTAGGCAATTAACAAAAAAAAAAACTATGTGGGTTAGGCGGTAAAGATTCATCATCTTCTTTAATTATTAATTAATTTACAGTTTGTTTCTTGCATTCATAGATAATACTAATTAATAGACTTTAGCTTATCATCTTATTATTGCGATTGACTTTCAACACAGCTATGATAAAAATATGTTTTTTCCTACATTAACCAAGAAATCATCAATATGATCTCCCCAAAAAAATCTCTCTATAGCTTTTGCCATCGGCAATGTGCTAAATTCCAAATACTACATAATCTTTTCATTGAGAAAAAAAAATGAAAAGAAAAGAAGAAGAGCATTTAATAATCACCAACGTAATTATAATAACTACAGAATTAATTATGTGAATTAAAGAAGAGAGAAAAGTGTTTTTAGTTGTGCACACAAAAAAAAGGAACAAAAATTTGGACTGATCAAACCAAATCAGTCTATCGCAACATGTGTACTTATACGAATTAAAGTGTAACCAAACACGACATATAATATGGTTCGTATAGAACAAATAAGTAATTAATAAGTCTAAATAATTGGACCGGCCAATCCGAAGTTAATTAGAGTTAGTAGAAGTAGACTAATAGGAGTATTTGCCCGTTCAACTAGCTAGGAGAAATAAACCAATATCAGAAGTACAAGTGCCTCAATAGTCAGACGACTTTTAATTTTAAAATTCATCATTAGGGTTTGCGGCTCAATACATGCACGCCTATATCGCATCTTTCTTTTTTCTAGTTTTCTTCGTTTCTTTAAAAAACCAGTCTAAATTGAAACTTGTACAAAAGCTTTTTGTTAGTTTTAGGAAAGAAATATTGACTAAGACTTATTCTAATGAAAATGAATAAGAAAATTTCTGCAAATTTGTTTATAACCTAAGTCTACTTTATATATGTGAACGAGTCATAATGACAGAAAATAAATCTAATCCAAATAATCCTACTATATATAGTATAATGTATATATAGGTTCAGATACACGTACTTGCCATTATACGTATTCAAACTTCGACTAATTCATTATTTATTTATTCTATAGTATAATTCTACATTTTCTTGTGATTTATTAAGTAGTGGAAGTTTGTACTTTCTATATAGGATATATATCTACATGATTTTCCCTTTTATTTATAGAAAGTATGTAATATCGCACATATATAGTCCACTAAGACAAAGAATTCGAAGTTTCTTTCTTTTATCATCATCACAAATGAAAATTTGATACGTCGATGTCACACACATCATATATAAACACAATATTGCCATGTGTACGAGTTCGATTGGTATTTAGAACATTTCATGGATATGAAAAAGCTATAGGAGACCGAGATACGATAAATCTATATTTATATATATATATATATATATATATATATATAGGTGTATGCATGCACATAAACTCATAAAAAGCAATTACTTTGATAATATATAACTTTAGCGGAGAAAGGACTCTATGCTTTTTTTATTTTTGAAAAAAGAAGCAATTATGTTATAATTTTTAAAACTAAAGTATCAAATATAATTTGTTGTTCGATAAGTTATCCAAGCATTCTCTGAATAGAGTGTAAATAAACTATAGAATTTCAATATTAGTAGAGTCCTAAATCCTAATGAAGACAAAGTTCCATTCTTTCATAAGCAATTTTTTTCCTTTATGCACTATGGCAGACAAATTCAAAGTAAGAAATTAAAAATTGCCTAATAAAAACATCTTTTGATTCCCTGGGCACAAATCCTTATGTCAACTTTTATTTGTCTGTATATTTTTTCATTTTAGTAGTTTTTTTTTTCTCATAAAGAAAGATTCCAGATTAAATAAAATAACCAATCAAACTTCTTTTATAATCCCAAAACCTTAAGAGGAGACCTTCATTTTAATTTCCTCTCCTTCTTCTCTTTCACTCAAACTCACATCGATTTTAATGAAGTTTTAGAGGAAACCATAAAAATTAAGAAAGCTTCCAAAAAGATTAAAAAAACATCAATGGAGATTTCAACAAACCCACCATCATCTTCTTCATCATCTGCTTCATCTTCCATTATCAATGGATCTTTACATCATCATCACATCATAACTAGATCTGATCATTATCCAACAACTTTTGTTCAAGCAGACACTTCTTCTTTCAAACAAGTCGTTCAGATGCTCACCGGAAGCTCTTCCCCGAGATCTCCTGACTCGCCGCGTCCTCCGACGACTCCTTCCGGCAAGGGTAATTTCGTGATTCCACCGATCAAAACCGCACAACCGAAGAAACATTCTGGCAACAAACTTTACGAGAGAAGATCACACGGCGGATTTAACAACAACCTCAAGAACAGTCTCATGATTAACACACTCATGATCGGTGGTGGTGGTGGCGCCGGAAGTCCAAGATTCTCGCCGAGAAATCAGGAGATTTTGTCGCCTAGCTGTCTTGATTTTCCCAAGCTTGCACTTAACAGTCCCGTGACGCCGTTAAAGCAGGGAAACAATGGAAACGACGGCGATCCTTTCGACAAGATGTCGCCATTATCGGAGGAAGAGAGAGCTATCGCTGACAAGGGTTATTACCTGCACCAGTCTCCGATTTCAACTCCGAGAGATTCTGAGCCGCAGCTTCTGCCTCTGTTCCCGGTGACTTCTCCGAGAGTATCGCCGGAGATGTAGGCTGAGAAACTGTTTATAAATTTTTAGTGCGACTGTTATTTTCGTTTCTTTTATAAACTTTGCTCTGCTTTTAATATCTTTATCCCCTGCTTCGGCTTATTACTATTTACTTAAATAGTAAAATATGTTAATTAAGTTTTTAAATAAATAAAATGAGAGATCAAATAAGATTTAGAACTTGTGATTAGATGAAAAAATTACACTACAATTTCAAAGAAAATACATTTATTAAAGAGCAAAGTGCAGTTCATGGTTAAATTGAGTTACCGTTGAAGTTTGAACTAAGATATACTAATAATAATAAGGTATTTGTCTTTTGCTAATTTTGTTTTCGTCAACAGAGGGATTTGTCTTTTGCAATTTGACTAGTTATTCTTTGCATCATCAACTTATAAAAGTTATCATTTTATGATTTTAATCATTATCTCTTAAATTTCTTCGTCATCGATGATAAGTTGATAACTTAGACATAATTCTCTGTCGTTTTGCTTCTAAATTTCCCTAAAACTTTTGGTTAGTACTTAGTAGATAGAAGAAGATATATATGAATTTTGATATTGATCCAATCAAACCAAACAACAAAGTGCTAATGGTTTTGTCTTGGACAACATTTCTTCTTGTAGCTTTACTGCTGATAATTACTTTTTAATCTAAAGTCTAAACCAATAAATTTAAATTTGAAACAAAAAAAAATTGATTAGGTAACAACACCTTATTGATTTGTTGAAGCTAAACTTTATTTTAGTACATATCAAGATTACAAAACAAGGTCGCTTACCGGTAACTTCATATCTACCAAGAAACAAAGGAACAGAGAAAGAATCCAGAAACGATCCACAAAGCATTCACTGTTCTTGTCTTAAGAGCTACAGGTGTCTTCTTGTTTTTTACTGCCTTTGGTATTCGCTTCTCAGAGCCGAGGAGATGGCTTCTGTGTAGCTTTACGGTAATCATAAACTCCTACTCCTCGTTTTCTTCCTAATCTTCCCGCATCAACGTATTGAACAAGAAGAGGGCAAGGTGCGTACTTTGAGTCCCCAAGTCCCTCGTGCAGCACTTTCATTACGGACAAGCACACGTCTAGACCGATTAAGTCCGCCAACTCCAGAGGACCCATCGGGTGGTTTGTGCCGTGTTTCATTCCGCTGTCTATGTCTTCCTTTGTAGCTACCCCTGTGTAAAGTGTGTGGAACGCTTCATTGATCATAGGCATGAGGATCCTGTTCACAATGAAGCCCGCATAGTCTTGTGAACAGACTGTTGTCTTGCCAAACCTGCAGGTTTCAGGAATATACAGTTAAATTTAAATCTGCATTAGAGTAATTGAATCAACGATTTAGTCAGTTAAACTGCGCAATCAAACCCAAGAAGGCTTTTCTAAGGATTTCCTCTAAATCAAATTGTTCTCGACTTAAAAAGAGATTTGTATTATGCATTCAAGATTCTGATCCAAAGGTGACAGTTTTGATAGATAATGGATCGACTTCATTCCAATATTTGATACTATGTTGAGAATATCACATACATGTAAACTTTATTTCAAGAAAAGATCAAACCTTTCAGCCAGAGCTTTTGTAGCAATAAACGTCTCTTCTGAGGTATCTGCACCACGAATGATCTCAACCAGTTTCATTATTGGAGGAGGGTTCATAAAGTGCATTCCAATGACCTAGAGACGAAGAAGAAACAATTAATAAGGTTCGAAATATTCACTATTCAGACCCGAAACTCATGAACGGAGAGATAATCGATTCGAGCAGAGGAAGTAAAAGAGTCTTGAACCTGGCTTGGTCTTTTCGTTGCAGATGCAAGACGAGTAATGGAGATAGAACTTGTGTTAGAAGCTAAAATCGCACAACTCTTGGCTATACCATCTAAATCCTTGAACAGTTTCTTCTTAATGTCTTCTGATTCCACAATGGCTTCAACAATGATATCAGCAGAAGACAAATCTTCAAGATTCGATGTTACACGTAGACGATGCATAGCATCATCACCAATTTCCTGCAACATACAAATCACTCTCGTGTTAATGAATCGCCAGAAGATTCGATTATTCTTTGCTCAGTTGAAATTTGCTTAAACGGTGATCTCTCAATTAGATGATTCGACGGAGAAATAAATACCCAGTAAATTGAAAGAAAAATCTTGCCTTGGAGATTAGACCTTTGGAGACGAAACGTTTGACGGAGGAGGAGATAGCTGCGGTGGCTCGAGAGAGCGCATCTCGATCAGCGTCCATGAGCCAAACATCGAGGCCACTCGTGGCGGCGAGTTGTGCGATTCCTGAACCCATCTGTCCAGCACCAACTACTCCGACACACTTCATCTCCGCCATTTTTCTATCTGCTTCTGTAATTTCAGATTAAAGAGATAACATTTTCAAGCTAGGCTTCTGAAAATGGGCCTTAATTAGCACTATAATGGGCCTAAATTGCTATAACGGGCCTAAATTTAGAAACGACACGACAATAAAAGATTTATTGGGAACCGTTTCGAGCACGTGTCGAGAAATGAGACGTTAACTGAGAAACGTGTCCTACAATTTGTCCACGTGTCGTTGGCCCGATACACCATCATTCCACTGACTTCCGCAACCTTTGGATCTTCGCTAACTACTTTCTTAAGCAACTGAGGGAAAATGGGAAAGCAACAGATTAAAAACTAATCAAGAAAACGAAAAGTAACAATGGCGACTAGGTTTTTGGTGAAGAGACTCACGGAGGTGAATGTTTCAAGAACTCCAGGGGGAGATTTATCCGGTTATGTTTTACGACAAGCTACAACCGGTATCAACCGCTTCTCAACCGGATTTAAGCAAACGGAGGTATGTCCAGGATTTGTAACATTTAGATAGATCATGAATTATTGCTCTTCCAATGTTTTTGGATAAGAATGTATCATTTTTCTCGTCGAAGTATTTATTTGGTATTACCGCTATTAAATTACGGATTTTATTTATAGGGCACTAGTCACGACGATAAGTCCACAACGAATTACGTGGCGGACAAGGCAAAGGAAGGGGTGAAGAAAGCGACAGACGCAGCCGTCAACGCAGGAGATAACGTGAAGGATGCGATGGACGGTGCATGGAAAGCGGCTAAGGAAACGGGTCAAAACATTAGTGATGCGGTTGCGGGCGATGATGACGACGGCAGGATTCAAGAGGATAAGGTCGCGGTGGAGTTGAAGGATGTTCAACAGCCTGTGGATACGACGGAGTATAGAGGCGTGGAGGATCTACATCAGCAAACCGGCGGCGAAGTTAAGTCACCCTAAGCTATTGTGATAGTGTTTCTTTCCTTTTCTCATTGTTGTTTCAGTGAGAGCTAGGTTGCTTGTGCCTCGTGGTTCAGAGGTTTATGAATGGACCGTGGCGTAGATCGCATTGCAATTTGTTTTTATTACTAGTTGAACTAAAGCAAAACAAACAACCACTCTGAACAATTTTCTAGATATTTGTTTTCTAAAATTTTATATGCACATATATTATGTCATAAATATTTTAAATAAAAAAAATATGTCTCCCAAATATTTTCCATCGAAGGATGATAAAAACATGATGTGATTGCATGCAAGAAATGATACGATAATTGTGTGTATAAATTGACAAATATCTACGGAGTTTGGTTGTGGGGTTGGGACTGAACACAGCTGGATACCATAGTAATGTAAGGAATCTCACGTTGGCAAATATTTAAAGCTGGTCTCATTGACAATTCCCGTAAATGGAGGGACAAATTCTCTAGGCTTAAAATCGCTCTAACAGATCAGACACAAATCGTGTACTACTATTTACTAAAACCCGTGTTCAAAAAATCGCTAGGCGCTAGTCGGGCGGTGAGGGTGCGCCTAGCGCCTAGCAAGAAAATCGGGGACTACACGGGGATTAATCGAGGATTAGTTTTAGGGCTATTTAATATTTTATAAACATATTAATCCATTATAATTAAGTAATTTATATAATATTGTTTTTAAAATTGTATTAAACACATGAAAACAAGATTTTAATTTCAAATTTATGATTTTTATACAAATTACGAACATAAGTAGGACGTTTTTAATTTTAGATGAAAAAAAAGTAAAAAAAAAAAAAAAAAAAAAAAAAAAATTGGTCTAGGCGCCGTCTAGGCGGGCTAGGCGGCCGCCTAGGCGGTCAAGGCGGGCAAAAAATCGGATCTCCGATTTTTTTCACCGATTTGGACAAAATCGCCGCGGTGCTCCTCCGATCAGCGCCTAGGCGGCCGCCTAGACGGCTAGGCGGCCGATTTTTATAACAGGGACTAAAACTAGTAAATAGTAATTCAATTTTTTTTTCTAAAAACAATCAAAATGTTTATATCCACACAACAACAAAAAAACGATTGTAATACATAAAATAGAACTATCATTATTCCCGTTTGCTTTTCTTTCAATTTTTCTAATTTAAAAATGTATTTTAGTTATAAAATCCATGATACTATCATATCTAGTTTTTGGCATCTATGACAAATAAACAGAACAAATGCTCTTTGGTTCTGTAGGGGACAAGTGGAACCGAAAACGAGAGGAGGCATCTCTGATATTTGGTGTTAGTAGTGGCTTAAGGATAGCTACGTGCGTTTTGTTTCCTTGCGTTAAGTGACAAATGCGAAGCTAGAAAAGTTCGCCATGGAGGAAATATGACAGCATAAATATATTCCCCACTTCAGGGATTATACGATAGCATCTCTCTTATAAGTTCGCATTCCGAATCTGTTTCTTTTGCAGGGCCAAAACTTGAAATTGGCACCGAGCAGACGGAGACGAGCATTAACCTATCATATACGGTTTGATCACTCTGTTTTTTTTGTTAAATACTTAAATGGTTTGTTCACTTCTTGCTCACACAAAAAATTACAAAACCAAAGCAAAATCATATCCTTAAACTATAGCATAGTCTTTGAATTTAGGGTGCTAACTGCTAAGAACAATTTCATTTTGAGGACCACCAACAATTGAAAATGAAGAAAAATCGAAGGGGAGATGAGAGAAAAGAAGGGGCAACATTTATTTATTCTGTTATTGTAAATAAAACAACCCCAAAAGCTTAGGTCATAGACTCAAGACATGAGTACAGTTTGGCATGTGAAACCTTTTATGTCCCGTCTCTTTCACTACCCACTAATTCTAACTATTTCCTCTTTCTTACACTGCTGTAATGTATAATTAATAAAAAAGAAGCAAAGAAAGTTTTTCACTGTTTAATATTTATTTCCCAGAAAGAAACAGGCTGAGAGAAAATCACAGAGTTGAAAAGGAAAAAAAAAAAGATTAACATAGAAGTGGTGATGATTGCATCTTACATACTTGTGTGATTCTTTCTTTAGCTGATCCAATCTCAAAGACTCTTTACTTGTTTCAGTGACCAGTAAGACTTAGGATGAAAGCAATCTGCTCAGGTCTCTTCTCCTACCAGAGCAAAAACAAGGTTAAAAGTGAAGATTTTTTTTTTTTACTTTTATGGTTACTATTACTCTTTTGAGCAGCTAAACTTTAAACCTTAAACATCAAAGTTCTCTATCAAAAGAATATAGTTCCAAGTGTCGTTTGCATTGACCCTTTATAGCTAAAGTGAACTTACTGTTTACTTTCCATCTTTTAATCTCTGATTTTGCACTCCCACAAAATAGAATCTTATAGGTAACACCCGAAAGAAAGAAAAAAAGTGTCAGGCATCAACGAAATGCGTTGATATGCTATGGTCCAGAACAGACGATATTCATGCTGCCAACATCATATTATATACCACAGACAAGCCAAGTTAAAACCAGATACAAACCCGCATGTCATAAAAAAAAAGACAACGAGATGTTTAAACTGAACATAACCATTTTACCTCTAATCCTAAGCTAACCTTAAATGCATATAGTCTAGATGGGTCCAAGAATAGATGACCACTAGGGTTGCAGGAAGAGGAATCCAATAGTCTACATCGACAAAGGATGTCACCATTTATTAGGACCTTTGTCTGTTTCTAGAGATATATTATAAAGTTAGATGAGAAGACCATGCGTAAATTATGATATTCCAGCTCTTCTTCCCTGTACTATATGTCTACAGTTGCACTGGTCAATAAGGATCACCTTAATTACCTAGAAGGACATCAATGTTAAAAACAAAAGGGTCCCCAATTTGAATTAGAAATTCGAATTAAAAGTCAAACAGTAAACCCGGAAGTACAATATACAGCTTCAATCTTGTACCAACTATTAATTGCATCAGAAGAAACCAAAACCACAAAAGGCCTATGAATAGTTTATAAGAAATTTTTCACTTCTGTAATTCCAATCTAATGCCCTTTACTATATATCTTTTTTGGGGGAGCAGGCACATCACGTAATCATGTACTTATTCCACCAGAGAAGCATAGAAGGACACAGTGGTCCATCTCCCGACTTATCTTCTCCTTTTTAAACACTTCAAAAAACATTCATTCCATACCCCAAGCCCATCCCTCAACATTGCTCATTCCTCACAAGAATTCCACCACCATCTTACCAAGACTACAACTTAAAGCTTTACCAGAAAATGGAGGTTCAGAGAACACAACGGCGGGGTTACTTGAAAAACAAGACTACAGTCTCCAACCTTGTTGAAGAAGAAATGGAGAATGACATGGATGAAGAAGAGGAAGATGTAGGAGACGAAGACAAAAGGAAGAGGATGATGGAAAAAGTTAGAGGTCCTAGCACAGACCGTGTTCCATCGCGACTGTGCCAGGTCGATAGGTGCACTGCTAATTTGACTGAGGCCAAGCAGTACTACCGCAGACACAGAGTCTGTGAAGTTCATGCAAAGGCATCTGCTGCGACTGTTGCAGGGGTCAGGCAACGCTTTTGTCAACAATGCAGCAGGTATAATTCTTCTCTTCACTATTACTTTAGAAAAGGTATCAAGAAGGGGTTTGTTTTTCAATTTGATTGTTTTGAGCAGGTTTCATGAGCTACCAGAGTTTGATGAAGCTAAAAGAAGTTGCAGGAGGCGCTTAGCTGGACACAATGAGAGGAGGAGGAAGATTTCTGGTGACAGTTATGGAGAAGGGTCAGGACGAAGAGGGCATAGCGGTCAACTGATCCAGACTCAAGAAAGAAACAGGGTAGACATGAAACTTCCTATGACCAACTCATCATTCAAGCGACCACAGATTAGATGAACCCTCCCGCTCTCTCTCTTCTGTCATCTACATATGATCTATCTAGACTCTTGTTATCCAAATAATGGCATCTAATCATGGTATTGAATCGTACACGGATATATAACTATAAACCTATTGTACCCTCTATGCTGCTCTGTAATGGATGCCTATCCGAAAATGTAAAAGACCTTCGCATAGTCTTGCAACTAATAATGTTTAGTAATTTGGTGAGTTTGAAGATATATGATTATAATGTGTTTTTTACTCTCGAATCGCGACATGATTCTTTATATGCCTAACGCCATAATTGAAAAGGCCTCGCTTGTAATACAGATTCAAGTAAGGTGTAAGAGTTGCTCAAAAGGAGAGAAGAAGACTAACCGAAAGCTAATGTCAATGTCACTGAAATTTCGCGACGACGACTGAGATATCGTCTGAGCTTTTCCTTGCAACAGCCTCCTCTGCAAGGTGCTTTGCTGCAGACTTCGCATCTTTTATTCCCTTAATCGAGTCAACGGCTTCTTGGTTTGACATGACCTATGAGATTTTGAATAATCAGCAACCATACAAGTAAGTTGTTGAAAATCGAGATTGATAGATCAAAACCTTCCACAGCCCATCACTTGCTAGGATAAGAAATTCTGCATCATCATCAATTGTCTCCACCGTGACATATGGTTCTGAACTCAAATGCATCTTTAAACTCTTATCACCAAATGCCCTTGCCACAGCAAGCTGACCATCAACTCGAGGAACATCACCTGAATTGGTTCAAAACAAATGAAATTCAAGTATATGCAACAAATATAGCAGAATATATTTGCAGAAATGTAACTGAATTAGATACCAGGAAAGTTAGAAACGAATCCGCCTCTGTTCTCGATTTCATCCTTCTCCATGTTTGGCTCATGATCAACTGAGAGTGGCTTCGCAACACCATTTTGGCAAATAACAGCTCGAGAGTCTCCAACATTCGCAACCACTAGCTTCTGGCAATTGATCAATATCGCAGTCACAGCAGTAGAACCTCCTTTCCCCAAATCAGTTGCCTTATCCAGAATCGTTTTATCCGTTATATAATAAGCTTTCTTTATCGCTTTCTCAGGCTCTTGCCAGAAATTCGGCTTCCCCATAAAAAAAATAGAGAAGAAGAACATAAGTTCATATATTACTCAAATTATAAACCAACTTCCAGGCATTTTAGAGAAAACTCCATTACCTCATTCAAGATGTTCTCAAACAAATGGGAGCACAAGTAGTCAGGAATCTCGTGGCTAAGATGGCCATCGAAGATAGCAAACAAACCAAGCTCATTATCATCAACTTCCTTGAATTTGGCAACCACATAATCTTCCATCTCGTGAAAAGCTTTACCTTTCACCAAATGAAAACCATGTGTGATCTGCTTCGACATCTTGCTCTTACCTTTCCCTGAATCTGCGGAAGAAGCAGATGCACCAAGCCCAACTTTCTCCTGCACCAGAGACAACCACAGAGCCCCAAATTTTAAATTACAACAGAGACAGAATCAACAGCCAGTGTTGAAGCCCTAGAATCTAGTATCGTATCGGGATCTCAAACTCCAACAAACATATCTAGATCTAACGTTACAGCTTCATTTAGATATTTCGCTACGCTCTACCAAATCCAATTTCGACCCGATCTACTCGAATTGACAGGCCAAATTCTCGATACTAACGAATCGGAAGCGATTGTTGAAGTAAAATGGAGTGAACAAAGAATCGATTACCTTGACGGATTCCTTCATCTTGTGGAGAATTTCTCTACCGGTCATGGCTCGAAGATAAAGACACGATTATCTAATATATGTGTGTGAAGAAGAGACGAAAATGCATACGAAATTAATCTTGAATCGCGAGCGTAAGAGAGAGAGAAGGAGAAGAAGAGAATGACACGAAAGCCACCGTTGCATGTCAGCTTCCACCGCCGCTTTCTTTGCGGCTATCTCTGACGTCTTCGCGCCACCTATGACTTTTCCTTCCTTTTTTTATTATTGCAATCGAATGTTGATAAATGGGCCGTTTCAAAGCCCAAACTATGATGGGCTTCCTTTTAGTAATCATATCTCTAATGTTAATTACTATATGCAAAATAGCCACTAGTTACTAACAATATAAAATATGATTAGCACTGAGATTAATGATGATAGGTGTTATTTAGGTAATGGGTCCTAAAGAGTAAAGAGACACTAAATGTGTCCAATGGGAGACAAAAGCCTTAGTGCGAGTTCTTTGTCTAAATTTTGTTGAATTGTGTGTTTAATTTCTCGTTATTTTAAAAACACTATTAGATTTTATTAATCTCTGCAATTTTAAAATGTTTCTTGTTAGATTACCAACAGAGAATCTTTCCCACTTTTGTTAATTGTCTAATAATAAGCTCATTTGATATGGTTGAATAAAGCCATTGTTGCTTTTGCTTTAACCCAAAGCGTATCTTTGGGAAACTTGTGTCCCCTGCGTAAAACATGTGAGCTACATATAGCAGAGAAATTTATCGATTATAAATAGTTGTTCGACATAAAACAATGCAACTAGATAAGCTAAAGATTTTATAAATATGGAAGATAATTAAGAAGATTAATTATTGTGTAAACTTTATATTAAAAGATCAGTCTTTTATTAATTCGTGATCCGGTCGACCGTCGACATAATTAGACAAGATGATTACAAACACCATCAATTCACTTTGCCACGTGTAGTCAAAAGCTGAGCTGGCTTGACTTCCTCACCACTCCCGTTCCCGTACCCAATTTGCCACGTGTCTTCCCCTCTATTTAAACAAGTATACGACCACAAATCAAACACACCAAAAAATGGAGAATCATAGAGAAACCACAAACTCCGACGAGCCACCACCGGATTTTGAGTTCGGATCGTTGACTCCAACTTCTCCGTCGCAAGACTCTTTCACTGAGAATTCTCCCGCCGATCACCTCTTCTTCAACGGCCGTCTCTTGCCACACTCTTTCCCGGCGGCGAGCAGTATTTATACAAAGCGGTCAATCTCGAGTACGACCAGCGAATACACCTCCCGGAGCAGTAGTACGAACAGCCGAAGTAGTTTTGGGAGTAATAGCAGCTCAACTTCTCAATCTCCGAGAACGAGCAGTTGCAACATTAACAAGAACAACAGCCCCAATAATCAAGAGCCACTGGATTTGAAGCCTCCAATTAGCAGATGTGGCAAAACCGTAAATACGACCAACAACAGCTCGTACTCGTCGCCGCAATACAAGAGGAGGAAAGCGACGGAGATGGTGACAGCGTCTCTATACAGGTCTTATTCATCGCAGCGGTGGCAATATGTAACTCCGGTACCGGTGAAAATGAGTGGAGTGATAAGGGTCGGTGGCCGGAAGAAGAAGGCGGCGAGGGTGAGGAAGGAGACGGAGGAGAGAAGAGGGAGTAGGGTGATGAAGTTGTGGAGAAAACTTTTAATGGCGGCAATTTTTGCTTGTAGAGAGTGTCATGCATTGGAGGGAGCTTGAGTGTGAGACTTGTGATTTTTTTTTTTTTTTTGGCTCAACAGTGAGACTTGTGAAATTGTGACGTGGTTATGATTAGGAAAGTATTGATTGTTCAATACTGTAGACTTTAGTAAACAAAAACTCTAATGGGCTTGTGGGTTTTTCACAATTGTGTATCTAACTATTTTTCTTTGATTTACTTGTAAACAAAACTATCTTTAAAAAACTTAAGTACTATCGCCTAGAACGCCTAATCGGGCGGTGACCCAATGCCTAGCGCCTAGAACGCCTAATCGGGGCCTAGGCGATTTTTAGGCGGTTTAGGCGTTTATAACATAAAATATTATAAATATGATATTATATATAAAAGTTATATAAAATATCTATATAAAACTAAAAATTATGAAATTATAAACAAAAATTAGATAAAACATTTATTTATATTTATATTAAACAATATATGAATATTTATAACTATATATATAAATAAAACTCTAATTAAAATTGAAAAATACATTAAACAAGATCTGTGTAATTTTAGGCGGTCAAGGCGGTTATCTAGGCGTCGCATAAGAGTCTAGCGCCTAGTCGGGGCCTAGGCGACCGCCTAGACCGCTTTTTAGAACACTGCTTTAAACAAAACTATTCTAGTAGAATCTGTTAATTTACAACTTAAGTAACTATCATTAACTGGTAATGTAATATCTTGAATTATGAAAACAAACAGACTTATGTTTGTTATATTTAAAATTACAATTGCGATAATTGGGAGAATTTCATTTTAAAATATTTTTCAACCAAAAAAAAATTGATTTATAACCATATATAACTTTAGAAAATAAAATTGTTTTACTTTTTTTTAAAACACGTAATTATGCCGTTATGAAAAAAGGTCAAGAAAAGTTTTAGAAAGAAAAAGTAAATTGTTGAGAAAAAAAATGAAGAGAGAGTAGAATGAAAAAAAAAAGAGAGAGTAGATTAACTAGGTTTAACACAAGTGATAAAACGATCCAAACAACAAACAAGAGGCATAGAAAAAGGACCAAACTAAGTTCTTACGAGAGGCATACACGAAGTCATATCACTCCAAGAAACTCATGTTTCGGTGGTGACTATCAAGGCTCAAGAACTCGCTCGGATTCGCTTGACTCTCAGAGTTGCTCTGTTCCTGGCTCTGGTTCTGGTGGCTCTGGTGGTCTGTTTTGTCACCTAACCCCTCTGAATCAAACAGAAGCTTAGCATTGACATTGTTAGTCAACGCATTGAAGAATGATAGCCCCGTGGGCCATTTCACGTCAGGGTCTTGTTCTTTGTTTGAGTGTGGCATTACTGGGAAAGGCATGTGAGGCTGGTAGGTAGGCAAAGAGGTTTGAACCATCATTGGTCGTTGGCTCGTACCACTCCAGTTGTAGTGGGGAAGAGTGGATTGCAATGGCTGAGTCTGTGGAGGAAGTATAGGATGGTTCGAGCCCATGACCGATGTGTTTGAAGTCGAAGTGGTTCGATTTGAGGAGAATAGCTGAGAGAGGTAAAAGCCGGATTGGTAGCCGAGTGATTCAAACGTGTGCCTCATCCGAAGTACAAAGTGCAGATCTTCAGGTATCTGAGTAAAACCGGCCGGTTTAGAGAACATAACCGCAAAGATCCCAATTAAGAACTTTTAATATTTACAGTAGAAGCATTAACCAAAATAGAAAGACTTACAATCTTGCAAGAACCGAGTTGTAAAAGGCCATGTCCGGCTTGAATAACAGCTATGGTCTGTAGGTACAATAAGAAAAGATTACAAAGGTGACTTGAGAAACAAGAAAGTCAAGAACATTCCCACATATGATTAGTGTTCTTTATTTTACCTGAATCCCAGATTCGAATTGATCATTCCACTCCGAAGGAATCTGCATTTTTGAGAGATAGATCTCAGCCGGCTTACAAATTTGCAGATAAAAATCTTATTATGCATAAATGTTTCATTGATACTATATACAAACTTACAGCATCGAATGAGCTTTGCCAGTAACTAGAGGCATTAGATTCAGATTCAGTTTGTTCCTTGAAAACCCATTTATGGCATTTGTCAGAAGCAACCTTCCCCATTAACCTGTTGGCCAGAAATGTATGTTGCAAAACCCAGAAAAAGGGAAGAAAAATAGTTTCTATTCTTGGCTAATTTGCAGTGACAATGTCATCAGGAGTTAAATATATCCATGCAGACAGAAATGATAATAAGGACCTACCAAGTACCCACCCTTCGCCATAATTATATAACTGAATTGACATCTTGCTGAAAGATTTACGAACAGGATCTTCTCCTTCCATGTCTCCATAGCAACCTTCTGTTCCTCCTCTTCCTCTGCAGTATCCATCTTCCCACATCAACATCCTGTGTACATAGCATATATTTGTAAATCTACTCATAAATCATTCATTTTCGTTTTAATTTTGTGAAAAAAGGAAACAATGGTTATTAGACAAGATCATCTACAAGTGATGACTTGATGTTTTTTTCCCCAGCAGATCATGATTCATATATATATATATACAACTACGTATGTGATCATGATCATGTCTAAGATCTTCATTCAACATTTTTTGTAATTATTTTGGATTTTTTTTTTGTTTTGTTAATTCAAGCCTAGATGAGTACTAATAATAATAGTCTGTCTTAACTAGTTTCTCTCCGGTGACTATAATACGATAAAACCATAGGGGAAAATGTTGACTTTTTAATCATGTTTCGTAAAGACTAAACTATAGTTGGCTGTCTTGACTATATGGGTAATATGATTTTTTTTTGTTGTTGTAAAAAAGTGTAACTTACAAGCTTCCATTGTCGTCGCCAACTTTGCAGCCGTTGCCACCGCCTCGAACTCTCCTGAAGAACAAAAAAAGACAACGTTTTGAGGAGAGAGAGGGATAAAGATGGAGAGAAAAAAAGAGAGAAGGATATAGAGACGTACGGACGGGGACGGATGGACCAGAAGACAGAGTAAGTCCAGTCGGTGTTGAGACAAACGGTTCTTAGGGCCTCGTGGAGAGCCACCATCCCTAAAGCTTCTTTGCTCCTTTGTTGCTGCTGCTGATGGTTTTGATGATGATGATGATGATGATGTTCCGAGCCCACCATCTATATAAATATGTCGGTATATATGTGTGTTATATGTGTTTCTCTTCTAGTTTTTCTTTGCTGCCTTCCTTGCTCAAGCTTCTCATGGACTCTTTTATGTTCTAATTTTCTTTTATTTTCAATTTTTTTTAGACTAATTATCTGATTGCAAAACCGACATTTACTGTTTGACACAATAATATGCTATTTTAGTTCTGATTACTTTGTTGGTAAAATCTTACAATCTTGTGGCAAGGATACGAATTTCTTGGGGTTTGGTATAGTTAACAATAAGTAATATATAATTAATTATCAGAGAACCAATTGAACACAAGGTTAAAGTTTTTTGCATGTAAAAGCTTTTTCTCTTAGGCCAAGGAAGTCAAAGATACTTGAAAATCTTCCTGAAAAATCATTTTAGTTCGCTTTATATTTGTTTTGATGGAATCCAATTCTCAACCGTTGATTTTTTAAAATAGTTAATATCGCTTTTCTGAAAGAGAAATAATCATATGGTTTCGAGCGGATAAACTGTTGTTGTTATGATTAAAGATACAATTACAGTGACATAATTAGTCACTCGACATTTTTCTTCTCTACAAAACACATTCTTTTAGTTTTAGAGTATATAACTATAGTGATACGATTAAAACCATGAATTGAAAGTGAATTTTGTTCCAATAACTGAAGAAAAGCTACGAAATAATTTTTTCTAAACAAAAAGAAAGAAGAAAAAGGCTTTAATTTAGTTGTCGTCAAACTTGGGATTAGGTATAGGACCAAGATTCATATTACTACGGGTGTGACACGCACGCAGATTAAGGGGGCACGACAAAGAGAATATATAGGAAGAAGAGATTTAGGAGTCACGTGTGCACGTGCCGTGTGTAAGACTCGAGTGGCTTTGTCATCAACAATGACCCAGCGTCTGGTTTTGACCTCAAGGCGCGTATAAACTACGCATAGAAGCACAAAGACGAAACAGGAAGAAGAAACCAAATCGTGTGAAGACATACACCAAAGGGTCGCGTGAGTTAGTAACTTAAAAAAATTAGGACAGTAACAGAGAGTTGGTCTCGTTGCATCAGTCTGAAACCCTGACGAGTCTTAGCTCCGCATTGACCGGCTCTGTTCTTTACTTACAATTTTTCTTTTGCGGGACCCACCGTTTAAGATTTTTTTTAAAAATTTGTCAAATAAAAGAAGAGAACACATGGAGTCATGGACCATGGTTATCGTGTATGTTAGCCACTTATCACATGGATTCAGGATTCATATAGTCAGATTTTGTAGAACATTTCTAAATGTTCATCCAAGTTTTGCATAATTATGATATACGAGATTTTCTAAGTTTCTAAGTGAGAAGTTTATATTATCTTTTACATATTCTAACTTTTGTGAGTTTGTTGTATATGTCCTTGAAGTATTCGTATCCCTTGATGAGTTAAAAAAAAATAACAAAAAGAGCGGCCGAGAATTAATGCAAAGGAATATGATAGGCCGAGAACTATGGGCCGTTAAATGAACTTTAAAGATTATTGGGTTTCAGTGCTTTTAACTTGGGTTGGTTTTGTTCTTCTTAACTGGATCGTAACGAATGGTATCTTTTTTTTTGAAAAACTTGGAAGGAAAAAATATTGGAAAATCTGCCAACAGTTTCTCTCGATCTCTTGGTGCTCTCTTTCGAGAGAGCTTTCTGGGGAAATGATCTAGCAAACGAAAGGAAAGAGCAACAAAGAGATCTGTAGTAGTATCCCATTCGTCTTCTTTGTCGAATTACCAGGTAATTTGGATCGATCCCTTTCAACTTTAGAGAATTTGATTATTGTAATCGAGGATTATTTTCGTTTATTTTGATCGAACATCAGTGACGAGATGTTTTTTTTTTAAATTAAGTTATCGGAAAGATAGACTCTCCGCTGGGGAGAGCCATTCAGGAACCGAGTTGCTTACATGGGAAAAGAGACTCTTCC